TTCACTACCTTAAATAATGTTTGGAAGTAAAGGGACTGGTCTTTTTACTTTAACCCTATTTTTTCACACTTCTGTTTTTTTTTCCCCCCAGCTGTTACACTGTTTAGCTTACATACAATCCCTGGAGTCTGCAGTAGCAAATGGCAATGGGAGTGAAACGAAGGTGGTTTTAAATGAGAGGCTTTTAAAAGTAGTGGGAAGGGTGTCATTTCATTTGGCAGCAGGAGCAGAAGAAACACTTCCTACCTGTGTTGTTAAAATGGAACGTGGAAATTAGCATTTGCCTTGGCTTGAAGGCTTGCCAGGAAGAAAAAAGCCAAAGGGAACTGTTTGGTGCTATGACCCACCTCACTCTTGTACCTTTATTCCCCCCACATGTGGTCACCTCACCCCCTTTGTGCTTGGTGTGAGCTGGGAGAGCTGGGCAGCTCCTGCTGCTCTTGTCTCATCTCACCATCCCCCATGTGGTGTTCTACTTGAGCCACATTACCTTTCCAGGGTTTCTTTGTCTCCTCTCCACCACCTCTCCTGGATTCTCACCTCTCTTACCCTCTGCACAGTGTAAGCATTATCTAATCTCCCCGGAGAAGCTGTTATTTGCTTTTATAATTACCTCCCCCATTCCCTCTCTGCCAGGCTGCTCAGATGAGCCCTGTGCTGCCATTCCCCGAGTTCAGTGGGTTAGTCATGTGGAAAAACGTGCCCAGGACAGCTTCTCCCTGTATTTATGGCCTCTTTGTACTCCTGACACTTCCCCTGCTTTTTAAATGTAATTTCAGTGGCTCTCTGGTTCACAAAGAAATTACTCTTCGTTGTTTCCAAATTTAAGATGTGGCCTTTTTTTTTCTTTTAAGAGTTATTTATATATATTTGCTTTTCACTATTTATTCTCATTGCATCTCCATGTCTGTTGATTCAAAATACTATCTCAAAGCCCTCTCTGCTCCAGGCTCTGCTGGCCTGTGTTGCTCATGAAATAACTTTTATTTTAAAATCTTCTAAAGACCTGATTGAAAAGTTACTGGTTTGTTGGAGTAATTCTGTCTACCCAAGTGAGCTGTTCTTCTTGGGAAAGGTGCGATGTAAAAAGTGGGAGCCTGTGGGTGCTTGGTTTGGAGTCTGGAGCAGCTCCTGGCTCAGGGACATGATGTGTTGAAGAGCTGAGGGAGAACTGGAAGCTGTTCTGTGGAAGTAAAGCATGTGCAGGGCAATCAGCGTACTGGTCATGCGTTTTCCTTCCATACCATAGGGCAGAGGTGGTGCCTGGCTCATTCAGGGTTTATCTTGATTTCAACAAGGCATTTTACATGGATGGAAACAATCCAAACATTTAATTTTCCATCAGTTTTTAAGATTAAAATACAAACATACACACATTTTGGTTTCTCCTCGACTGTACAAAAGGACACAATCGACTGGAGAACAGAATTTTTGTGTGTTAGGGTGAAAAAGCAGAGAGAAGGCTCCAGGGAGACCTTAGAGCCCCTTCCAGTGCCTGAAGGGGCTCCAGGAAAGCTGGGGAGGGGCTTTTCACCAGAGCAGTGACAGGACAAGGGTCACGGTTTTAAACCAAAAGAGGGGAGATTTACGTCAAACATCAGGGAGAAATTCTTCCCCATGAGGGCAGGAAGGCACTGAACAGGTTGCCCAGGGAGGTTGTTGATGCCCCATCCCTGGAGGTATTGAAGGGCAGGTTGGATCAGGCTTGTGCAGCCTGGTCTGGTGGGAGGTGTCCCTGCTCATGGCAGGGGGGTTGGAACCTGATGATCTTGACGGTCCCTTCCAACCTGAACCGTTCTGTGACTCTTGTCATGAGACACAAAATCTTAAATTTAGATGGGAGCAAGTGCAGCAGAAGTGGGGTTTGGTAGGGAAGTGCCAGGAGGAGAAGCTACCAGTCCTGCTAGTTATCAATGGTTTTTCTTTGTCTGCACCAAGCAGATGGAAAAAAAATAATATATATATATATATTTACACTTAAGTGGTGGTGTAAGATGACTGTTTAATCACCCCTGTGCACAGTCATTTTAACAGCCATGAGTGTTTTTGAGGTCTGACAGCTGGATGGATGATCTGCACCTGAGATGCCCTTTGTAGCTCAGTTGTTGTGTTATCAGAATACTTTGTTTTGCTCCTTGTGCACCAAATGCTTAGAATTGCAGTGGAGAAGCTAGAATGCTGTATGTAGAGAAATTTTCAAGTTCTGTTTTGCTTGAGAGACTACTTTGTATGTTTCCCCCATCACCATTTATTAGTTTGATATCAGAACAGTGGGCCCTCTAGAAACTGCAGTACTGGAAATAAAGTTAGTGCAGTTATTTTTAAAAAGTGAACAGTGCATTTTGTTTGGGATCTCTTCAAGTCTTTACATCTTTGTGGCTCTTTCCTAAATGCCTGTAATTGTGCTTGGAAATTGGGAATAGGGATACTGTCATTTTTCATTGAATTAGATCATGACAGGACTGTTACAGTTACTACAACTGGTTCCCCTCTTCCTCTGGAGCATCATCCAGATGGGGACTAAAAATGCCTGTGGAGCATTTGTCAGTGATATATTTTCATCCCCTTGAAAACAGAGCAAGGAAATACTGACAAGTGTCAGCAAGCTCATAACCAGCCTGTGATAGTAAATATTTAACTTTTATGTTCTAATTGTTTTGCTTGCTCCCAAATTGATGTGCTTTGTTCCTCAAGTAAACAAACAGCCTTGATCTGCTGATCTGCTATAACTGTTTTTATGAGGCAAGTAAAATATAAACGATTTCCAAGTTGAAATCAGTTGCTGTGGGAAAAGGAGAGTGAGTAATTTCTGATGCAGTTTACAAATTTAACATGCAATTACTGAGCTGTTGTGTTTGCAGAGTAAGCTTAGGAATGTTGTATTATCACATGAACAGATTCTGTGGTGGCTTTTTTTAAACCAGAAACTTCTTCTGAAATCTTGGGTAACATTGAAATGCTGTTTTCTGAAAACGTAGTTGTTTTGAATGTAAGTAGAGAAGTGAGATACTGTTTAGTCTTTCAGGAATATGAATTTCTATGTTTTTGGTGGTTTATGTTGTCTAAAGACTTGATGTGCAAGGGGGGGTTCCTGTTTTGTTGGTTTTTTTAATTAATAATCTCTTGTTTAGCCCATGTTCTTACTGTGGGACAGCTGGAGCTTTCCAGATGTGTTTTTACTCCCAAAATACATGTATTGTATAAAAAGATACTTAGGCAGTACAGCCAGATTGCTGGTTTGTCTCATTAGTACAGGCTTAAAAGAAGTTTGTTGCAGTTTTGACTCTGGTATTTTTTTTCCTCAGCGTTTTGTTGTTTCAGTTACAACCCTCTGACCATTTAGTTCTAAAAGCAAGATCAGTTTGTTTCTAGTCCTAATACTGTTTATCTCCTTGAAAATCTCATGTTAACAGACTTCTTCCCAGGGGCCTGTAAGGTCTATTAAAATCTCACTGAGAAGGAATTTTGAGCCTGACTTCATCTCTGCAGCTGCCTGCTTTCTCTAGAAGCTCTTGAGTCGTGTTGCAGGACCTGCCTTTTGGAAGAAACCAGAGGGAGGATCTCCATTTACGTTTAGGGGTTTTTCAGTCTCCTCTTGAGCCTGTGCAGATGCAGTTGAGCTCTCTGAGAACCCTGCCAAATCTGCTCAAGGCTACAGCCCTAGGAACAAAATGCCCCTGTGAAGCTGCCGTTGGATTTTCATCAAATATGCACATGTTGGAGGAGTGGAAAAGTAGGGAAAAGTACAGAAAAGGAGCAAGGGATGGAACAGTGTAGGAGCTCCCATCTGAAATAAAAGCATGTCCCCCAGAAAGGCCTTGAGGCCAAGTTGAAATGCCATGCTAACAGGACTCATTCCTGTCACTCAGGCACTCATTTCTGTTCCTTGCATCAGCTCATGAAGGGATAACCCTTTGTGAATGACACAGTAAAACATGGTTGGTCTGGCTAATCTTAATCTCCCTCTTTAGTAATTTCAAGCCTTCCTCTTGGGTTGCGTCAGAGATAAAACAGGTTAAAAAGTCTAGTTTATCTGACACCATCTGCTCAAAGTTCTTGCAGCAAAACTCTTGTTGGTTGGTGAAACAGGTTGTGGGTTTAAGTATTTTGACCCTGAAAGAAAACAGTTACAAGTCAGATCAAACTTGACCCCTGTGCTAGCTAAGGTGTTTTATTCCATGCAAGCTAATATAATTTGCTGAGATATTTTGAGTTGTTCAGCCTGGAGAAGAGAAGGCTCCTGGGAGGCCTTAGAGCACCTTACAGTGCCTGAAGGGGCTCCAGGAAAGCTGGGGAGGGACTTTGGACATGGGCTTGTAGTGAGAGGACAAGGGAGAAGGGTTTCAGACTGAAAGAGGGGAAATTGAGATGAGATCTGAGAAGGAAATTCTTCATTATGAGAGCGATGAGACCCTGACCCAGGTTGCCCAGAGAAGCTGTGGCTGCCCCATCCCTGGCAGTGTTGAAGGGCAGGTTGGATGGGGCTTGGAGCAACCTGGGCTGGTGGGAAGTGTCCCTGCCCATGCAGGGGGTGGGACTGGATGATGTTTAAGAGTTAGAGTATGTGTTCTCTCCTTGATACAGTGGCACCTGATTTGATCAGCTGGTGCATGGCTCTTAAAACTGCCTTTTGGTTTTGCTGTGAAAATCAGTGTCTTGCTATGAAATTTGTTCATTCTCAGTAATGGCATCAGCGTCAAAATAACTTCTCTTGAAGTGTGTGAGTACCTTTGGGACCTTTGTGTGATGCTACAGGCAGTATCATTTCAAGCGGAATCTGATTTCTGAATCCTCTGGGAGGAGTTGTCTCAAGCAAGAAATGTTGAGCTTTGTTGTTGGTTTCACTCTTTTGGAAGCAAAATTGACTCCATTGCTTGTGTTTGTTCGTTGTCTGGAGCTGGGATTCTCTGCCAGTGTTTGAAGAAGGCTGCCTGCTCCCCTGCTTTCCTCAGCCTTCTTAGATACCCACCTGCTCTTGAGAGAGCTGAGGAAGGTATGGCATGAGCTGGTTAGACCTGGGAACTGAAGTGAGTTACAGGGTGAAGTCATGTTCTTTGTGGCAGTGATGTCTGTTTTTAAAACCAGTGACCCATCTGAGAGGAGGGAAATGGCTGTGATCTGATGCAGTAGACTGATGTTCCTCACCTTCTCTTGCAGGGAGCACAGCTTCCCTTTCTCATCTTCTTGCAGCTCCTGTTCTTGTCATTTCTGTGGGGCATCTTTATGGGTTCATTGTAGGGGAAATATACTTTAATCTCATTTCCTAGTTAGCTAGCTAATGCTTTCACTGTAGTAGTGCTTGCAGATGAGATGCGTGGTGAGATCTTAACTCAGCACTTCCTGGCTTCCCATTGTTTTGTGAATTAAACTCACGTTCAGGAAGAACATGAAATGCACTGACTATTGTTGAAAATCTGCAGTCTTAAGTAAGTGTTTTCAAGGAGTGGTTTTGCTTTTCTTGAGGTTTGTTTGTTTCTTTCAGTACCACATGACTGTGCATACAGGTCAGCTGTTGCAACAGTTATAGGAAGTGGAGAGATGCAGAAGACTAAGTGATACTTGCAGGGCTGCACAGAAACTCTGCAGTGGAACTGGACAGCTGGATTAGAAGCAGAATGTGTATTCCCTTCTATCTTAGTCCAGCTGCCTTAGTGAAGTGTTTCTTCTCCCATGCTTTTTGAGGAAGGATGCCAGTGCAGAATGAAACGCTAGAAATGTGAGTGTCTCTCCCTGGGTATCACACAGGAGGCCCCATGGTTGGCAGTCACTCTTCACCACCACTGTGTAATTCCTTAATTATAAACTCTGATATCATCAGGACCAGTATATGTTTTCACCTTTTCAGCGTGTGTTGCCCTTCCCACTCCCCTGAGACATGGGGATTCCCATAATTGCTACACAAGGTCCCTGTCTGTGCTCCCCTATCTATGAGCAGTGCATTGCTAGACTTTTCCCTCCAGGTCATCATCTCTGCTTCTAAGATGTTGAAGCCTTATGGCAGCAGCCCCTTCTGGTGTTCCCCTCCACGGATCTTCGCATTTTCTCCTGACCTGGCTCTTCCTCTCATGTGGAGGTGTGGGGCAAAGCACAGCCCAGTTCCCCCAGTTTTTTCAGGCTGTGGCACAACAGGAGGTGGAGCAGCGGTTCCTTGTAGTGGCTCCAGCCCCTGAGTTGCTCTGCCCACCATCCTCTGCAGCAGGCTGGGCAGGAAGCCAGCCAGACACCTTACTTCCTTGTTGGTCTTGTTTTTGCACAGCTCACAAAAGCCTCCAGGGCTGCAAATTGAGTGCCTCCAAGGTATTGCTATGAAATTATTAGTTACTTAATTTGGTGGAAGCCCTCAGAGCCCCCCACTGTTGGTGGACTCATCCATGGTCTTTGGAGGGAGGAGCTGCCTGTGTTTCAGAGGATCAGAATTGACCCAAAAATGTTCTTGTCTTCCCCTGAGAAACTACTGATCCATCTGTCTTGTGTTTGAAACCACGTACTAAATGCCAATGTAAGTATGTAAGATGACTTTTTTGAGGTGATTAACATATTGTGTGTATGGAGAGAATAGGGAATTTCCCTGGATTTTATTACTTACAAAACTTTTGACTATGGTTTAAGATCTAGTGAGTGCCTTCCTGATTGAGAACCTGCCAGGGAAAACTGCATGTATGGACTGACTCTTAAGTGCTGCTTTTTTAACGTGTTTTTTGTTTTTTGTTTGTTTTTTTTTTAAGGTGAGGTTGTTGTTTGGTTTGGGGGAAGTTTTAGTAGGGAAACAGCCATGTTGGACCAGTGTGAGTCAGTTGTGGCCCTTTAGCTTGTGTAGGCACATGCTGAGGTTGCCTTGGCAATGAAAGCTGTGATGAATCTTCATGAGGAGAGATAAAAGGCATTGTCCTGCTTGCATCAGAGGTAGGTAGAAGTCAGCTTTTCTCCCAGTGCATTTTCTGGGGAGAAGCAACCCAAGGGGGACATCTTTGTATTTTGACTTGGACTTTTCCTTAGATCTCACTCTCTGGTGTGTTTCACATCTCTGTCTCTCTCTCATGCCTCAGACAGCATTTCATGTCCTAGTTGGTTTTCTGGATCCAAGGCACCTCAAAGTGTTGTTCCAGCCCTCCTCTAGTATTGTGGCCATGGTTCTTTATTGCCACGGGTTTTTAACAGTGCATTCATTCATCCTGCCACACTGGTTAGTTCTCTTACCCTGATGTCCTTTCTTTTTAAATCTTTTCCTCTGGTGGGTCCATGCTCCTTTCCTCACAGTGGTAGGTCAGTAACACAACTGGATGTTACTCATTCTGTGGATGAATAACTGCAGAATTACCCACCTTGATTGTTTTCATTGCTTCGTTTGCAGAAATCTGCCTTGGCTTGAAGTTTTTTCTTCACCAGAAAGGCTAAACACTTAGTTTATAATTAAACAGACACCAGCTTTGTAGGAGGACAAATTGCCATCTTAACTACATAGGAAAACTTGTGGGAAATTACTGGAAATGTGCAAATTTGCAGCACTACGGAGCTGCTCTGCTTTTCTACTAATTCTTCCATCTGCACAGCTTTAATTTGGAACAAAACCCTAATTCTTCTAATTCTTTTGGACAGGTGCAGCAACAGGTTCACCCAAACCTTTCAGCAAAAGAAGATTCCCTCTATTACATTGAAGAGTTAATACTTCAGCTGCTAAACAAACTGTGTATTGCTCAGCCACGGACTGTCCAAGATGTAGAGGTAAGAGTAAACACTGGAAAACCAAGTGCTTGCTTGCAGAATCCCAAAGATGAACTCAGATGTTTTGAGCAGGTTGAAGTTTAAGAAGGGTGATTCTGGAGAGCAAAGCTTGTTAATGCTTAAAGAACACGTAACATTCAGATTGCACAAAGCAAGCTTAACTGGAAACTTATTTTCCTAGCCAGGGCTTGAGAATAGAACTAGTAGGAATTTTTTCTTTCAGCATTATTTTTATAAATGCAGATTGCTTGGAAGGATTTTCTGCTGCTCAAATCCACCTTGGACTTAAGAATGTAAGGGTGGTGCAAGTTTTGTTACTCTTTGACATAAATATACAGGAAAAAAAAGTAAATACTGGAATGAAAGCTCACTGTTGTTAGGTCTGGATTGTGCAGCTGTGGGAATAGAGTTGTATGTTCCTGGAACTTTATTGAACTCACTGAGGAGCCTGTATTATTGCAGCTGTCTGCTTTTGTGTCATCAGTTACAACGTGAGGGCTTTAATGGAGTGTGCTTCAGGAGCCAGTCTAGAGGGAGAAAGTGCTTTCATGTAGCTTGGACCCATTATAGCTGTGTAGAGTATTAATCTGACATCAATCTATATGGCTAGGATTTTCAGCCTAAACCAAATGAAGTTCTCATCCAATACTCTCTCTGTGTGTCATGGAAATTAAATAGTTATCTATATATTTACAAAATAATTGCCTGAAGGGTTTTAGTTTTGTGTTTGATATAACAATCACCTTTTATTCAGCACTGAGTTAATTCATGTATTATTAATTTTTGGTTTATGATTAATGTATTTTTAATATTGATGCATAAAGATTATAGTACGACTAAATAAAAGCCAAATTTAATAGTCCCTTAGTAGCTCACAGAAGTGTTACTACTTTGAGTTGGGATTTGAACTTTAGATGTGGAGCTGACAAATTCCATGCTCTTTTTCCAGTTCCCTGCTGATCAAACCCTTCAGCACACAGGGCAGTTTGAGATAGCACTGATTGTTCTAAGCACCAAGTCCTTGGTTTTCTGCTTCTGAGTCATGAGATAAAATTACCCTGTGTCACAAATCAATTAAGAATTTCAGTAGTTAAATGTGTGCTCCACAAGTCACCATGTGCAGAACTGCAGGCAGCTCTTTGAGCTGGGGTTACAAATCTCACAGCAAAGACTAAATCCTGTGTATTGGATTTTAAATATAGTTGGCATTTTAAAGCTGTGAATAGTAAAACTTTGTTGCACTTGGCAATGTCACAGTTATTTAATTTAAAAACACAGAGTGGTAACTACATGGTGGTAACAGGTTCCCCAAAACGTTGTTGTTCTGTAGATGAATAAATTCAGACTTCCAGAGCAGGGGAACTAGCATTCAGTTTTGTGTTGTGGGTTGTTGGTGTGATTGCATTGCCAGCAGGCATCCAGCATCCACTAATGAAGGCTTTTGGCTCTGCTCCTCAGCTGCTTTTAGCTGCTAAGAAAAAACATGAGAGCTGTGATCTCTAAAGTTTATCATGCAGATATTTACATAACAGCCTGGAGTTAATGGAACTGTTTGTGCTTAATATTATACTCAAGTATTTACAAGACCAATGTCTAAAAATCTCGAATTCTGAAGGTTTTATAAATAGAAAAAGCCTTCCAAATTGTCCCCAAAAAAACACTGGGAACCAATAAATCTAGGCACAGAAGGGGTGTGTTACTCCTGAGGTGCAGAGTTGGGTTGAAGGACAGTTGAATGCCACATTTACCTCCATTTTGCCAGTGATCTCCTGGTAGAATCTCAAGGGAAGTTGATGTCAGTGAACCAGCCCAGAGCTTTGGGCTGCTGTCCAAGAGGAAAGGTCACCGTGTGTTTACCTGGCACAGGGGAGCTGATGCAGAAAGCTGAGCCTTCAGTGGCCACAGGCACATATTTAAAAGCTGCCTCTAAGATGATCTCTGGCCTCCTGTTAAATTTCAGAGTATGTGCAAAAATCAAAGGCAGACATGGGTTTCAACCTTTATTCTCAGCTTGTATATAAAGTTCTCTAAGAGTTAATACTCATACAGGCCTTATCGTGGCCCAGGTTACAGGTCCAAAGCAAAGGTCAGGAATGGCAGCATGCCTGCTTGGGAATGCCAAGTGGAGTAAGGGCAGGGCAGTGGGCCCTGATCACTGCTCCCCCCTCAGCTGTCTGGCTTAAAAAAACCTGTTTTCCCCAAAGTTACTTGCTCAGTCATCAGAGTTCAGCTCAGACTCCTCCTCACAGCGTTGACTTCAGCAGCTCCCAGGGGCTGCAGCAGGAAGCCTGGAGACCTTCATGGCAATCAAGGTTGGGGTCTTGCACATGTTTAGGTGGGGGCTGCTGAAGTGGGGGGCTGCTGCCCAAAGCAGCTTTCTGGTGGGGTCACCTCACCTGTTCCTGTAGCACCTATTGAAATGTGAATCTATATAAAAGTGGCCTGATCCTACCTACAGTTGACTGTGGTGTTGGGGCTGCAAGCTTCAGGCACTGTGCCTGCCTGTGCAGCAGGGAAGATGCTCCTGCCTGGGCTGCTGGGGTCCAAAGTGTTGCAGCCAGCCTTGCTCATGAATCACAGCCCTGCCCCTTTTAGAAGATTCTCGTGGTTCCTTGTCTCTCTGTCCTGCCAGGCTCACCATTTATGTCGTGGTTTAGGCCCAACACGACAACAAAGAACCCCCCCCGTGGCTGCTCACTCAACTCAACCCCCCACACACACACTCTGGGATGAGGAGGACAAAGCTCATGGGTTGAGACGAAGGACAAGGAGGGTTCTTCACTGATTAAGGCAGAACAGACTGAATTTGGGGAAAAAATAATAATTTAATTTCACACTAATCAAACACACCCAGAGCAGGGCTTGCACATGTTACCCCACCCCTCCCTTCTTCCCGGGCCCAAATCACTTTGTTCCCGGTTTCTCTCCCTCCTTCCCCCCAGCGGCACAGGGGATGGGGATGGGGTTTAGAGTCAGTTCACAGGCTGGTGGCTCCTGCTGCTCCTTCCTCCTCAGGAAGAAGGATTCCTCACAGTCCTGCCCTGCTTCCCCACGGGGTCCCTCCCATGGCAGAGTCCTCCACCAACCTCTCCTCCATGAGTCCTTCCCATCAGCTCTGGAGCTGTTCCAGCCTGGGCTTCCCACAGTCACAGGTGCTCCGGGAACAAACTTCCCTGGCCCGAGGGCTTCCAAAGCTGCATAATCAGAGTCCAGGCAGCAAATCCTCTGGCCACAAAATCCAAGCCCAGTGGCCAAGTTCACCCTTCCTGGTGTCTTCAGGGAATGTTCCACTGCGTTCCTCCATGAGTGCAGGGCACAGCTGCCATCTCCCCATGGACTGCAGGGAAACTTCTGCTTGGGCACCTTCTTCCCCTTCTTCCTCACCAACCACCAGCAGCTCAGCTCACCTCCTCCTGCACAGCTCTTCTCCCCCAAGTGCTTCTCTGCTCAGGTGTTATAGCAGTTCTTTTGTCCCTCTCATGCCTCCTTGGCTGGTTTTGGAGCAGGGGGAGCTTCTCAGCTTCTTACTGGAGCCACTCCTGGGGCCCTTCCCCTGCTACCAAAAAACCCACCAAACCAGAACAGAAGATACTGCACTTGTTTTACATTTCTGCCAAAAACTTGATCTGATGTAGAGCAAGATACACTTTTTGTGAAATAGGAACAATATCAACTTATTTATTTTCATTTAGACTGTAAACTGTTTAGTACTTCCCAATGTTGTTTATATTTGGGGCTCATGGTCTCAGCTGAGGTTTCTTGAAGGCTGCTCTTGTGATGTAAAGATCCTAGAGCAGGAGTTATTTGAGGAGGTTTGAAGAAGTTGTTCTTGGGATCATTGAAAAGAGTGGAGTTGGTAATAAGGAGAGAACAGTTAGGGAAATGTGTTGCAAACACTGAGGAGGAGGATAATTGTCTATACTGCAGGGGAAGTAATTTGCAGTTTTGTTTTTGTTTTTTAAACTTCTTTTTGATTACTGTGGTTAATGTCAGTGCACTCTGTGTTTGGACAGGAGCGTGTTCAAAAGACATTTCCTCACCCCATAGACAAGTGGGCCATTGCTGATGCACAGTCTGCTATAGAGAAAAGAAAAAGAAGAAACCCTCTCTTGCTTCCTGTGGACAAAATACATCCTTTATTAAAGGTACTTAAACCAACAGCCTGGTGGCTGCTGTTTCTGCCCACCACACACCCCTAGCTGTATTGTTGCCCTCCAGCATAACCTTTAAAGTGTTTCTTTAATTTGTGTGAAATCAGGTAAGTTTCTCATATTGGCTGAAAGAGTAAAGAGTCATCATAGAACAGGATGAATAATACATTGCAGTGTGTAATACATGTGGGTTCCTAAAGCCATCATGCTCTAGACATTAGTGTGTTAAATGTATTCCTCTACTTTGAAATATGACTAGCTAGTTTTTAATGTAGAATCCCAGACTGGTTTGGGTTGGGAGGGACCCTAAAGATCATCCAGTTCCAACCCTCCCTGCATGGACAGGGACACCTTCCAGACCAGGTTGCTCCAAGCCCCATCCAACCTGGGCTTGAACACAAATAAAACCTAAGCAAACTCAAATACTATACCTGCTTCAGTAGCACTGTTTTGACACTTACTTGTTTCAAAGTGCTGCAGAAGCCAAAATTGAAGAGAGAACAAGTAGATCCTGTTCCCTGTATACTGTAAACTAAGATATGTATCAGTGTCCTCCTAGTTACTGTCACTGATGCCATGGGTTTAAAATCAAGAGATCTTCAAAGGTGTAACAAAGGGGCAAATACAAACTCTATTGTTGGTGGGTTTGGAGGAGGAGAGTGGCCAGCTCTGTTGTTGTATGTCATGTCATTTTTAACAGGTATCCAGCTCCTTGCTCACAGTCAGGATTCAGTGTCACACAGCATTAGTCACACTGTGCCCTGTAGAGTTGTTTTCACATGGTAGAACAGTACTCTGATTTCTAGATCAGTGTTTAATCTCTTTTTGGACCAGTGCTGAATCAATAGATCGAGGCTGATTCAAACACTGCTCTTTTTTTGATACTTCTTTTTTCTATCAATTTTGGGTTTTCGTTCATAGCTCAAAAAAATGCTTTTCTTCAGTGGTGACCTTGTTGCACCAGAGTTTCTGGCTGCACTGGGAAACCAATACTCAAGCATAAGCAGAAATTAAAGCATTTTTTCAGGTTTAGTCACTGTGTTCTTCTATACAGTGTCTCAGTTTGTGACAGCTAATGAGAGGGGAAGAGATTTTAGGGCAGAAAACTTAAATAAGACATTCTTAGACACCACTAGCTTTCTTTTATGAATTCCGTTTTAGAAGTGTGTGGACATAGGTAGATAATGTAATTTTTAGAAGGTGCATCAAAATGTAATAAGACTACCTTACTCAAATGCATGAACTTACCTGTCTTTATTCCTGATGACCCTGTCATAAATAAGAAGCCACATGATTGATGCTCTGCAGACGTGGGGCATGTATCACAAGAAGAAAGTGCAGTGTTAATCCTGCTTTGTTGCTGGTTTGTTGGGTTTTTTTTCTGTTCAGACTTTAATTATTGAAGCTTAATTACTTTACGTAATGCGAGGATCGCTGAGTTGTTCAGCCAAATGCTTGGACTAAGATGGGTGGCAGTAGGTGACAGGTTGAACACGCAGTCTGTAGTTTCATTTTCCATTAAGGCAAATTCAAAATGAATCTTGCTCTTTCCTGAAGAGTCTGGATTCAGGCCAGAGTCCTGCAATGGGTATAGGTAGACACAGACTGAAATGTAGGTACAAGAGGGGTTCCAGTGAACGGGGTCCCTTCCTTGAAGGAACCTTCTTTTTAGGACCCTCATTTTTAGAAGAAGTATTATTGGAAGCTCTATAGCTTTTCCACTATCACTATATGGCAAAATAGCACAAGGAGGTTTTTGCAGGCACTTCCTTTGAGGCCGCTAATCACATTTCCATTTGATGTCCTTTGCCTTGCCTGTCACTTTTCCTGTGAATTATCAACAAGGTAATTTTGTAGAAAAGTCGATGTGTTAATTTTAATTTTTCCTGGATTTCTGGAATAAGTAGCATTTTTTTCTCTCTCATGTTTTCAATTTGCAGGAGGTCCTAGGTTATAAGGTAGACTACCACGTCTCGCTCTATATTGTGGCTGTCTTGGAATACATCTCAGCTGACATTTTAAAACTAGCTGGAAACTATGTTTTCAACATCCGACACTTTGAGATCTCCCAGCAGGACATTAAAGTATCGATGTGTGCTGATAAGGTGAGGAGTTGGCATTAAAATGGTCTTTTTGGACAGATACAAAGGGAGATACTAGAGGTGATTTTTTTATTTCTTTTTTTTTTTAGCTATATCCAAAGGGATAAGAGGGAGAGACTGGAATTACATGCAGAGGCTTCTCTCTGTGTTGTGCCAGACCTGTCTCAGTAAAGACTTAAGTGCAAGTTAAGCCTGTTACATTTTGGAACAGGGTTAATACTTAAGCACAATGTAAGGACAGAAGATGGTGCTGTCCTTTATTTCTGAGCTGTGTTACCATCCTCCTGATGTCCCTTTGTCATGGCAGCTCTTTCCTTCTTTATAATACAGAAAAGACATTTAGTTTTTATCCTCAAAAAAATGAGAGAGGTTTTGGTTTAATTTTATCTTTATCAGGAGGGTTTTGTCAGAGGCTGATGCAAGATGCCTTCTTTTCAAAGTTGGTTCTGTGTGAATTGTGACTTGTTTTCTAGGTCATACTAACTTATAAAGGGGAAAATGGCTTTGGCAACTGATCCAGCCTTCTGCTGCCAAAGTCTAAATATTACTCCCTTGTGAAAGTGATCACAGAAAGTATTGTATTAAAAGCTCAAAGGATTTAGCTGAACACATCGAAGTAGCTGAGCATGAGCCAAGTGTAACCCAGACTTGCATGTAATTTTTTTTAAATTTCTTTTGCTAGGTTTTGATGGACATGTTTGACCAGGATGACATTGGTTTGGTTTCTCTCTGTGAAGACGAGCCCTCTTCTTCTGGGGAGCTCAACTACTATGACCTAGTGAGAAATGAAATTGCAGAAGAAAGGCAGTATCTGCGGGAGCTGAATCTGATCATAAAAGTATTTCGGGAAGCTTTCCTATCAAACAGAAAACTGTTCACACCTAATGTAAGTCCCTGAGTAGGTTATTGATGCCCTTGTGCTGGTTGCTCCATTAGCAGCCATAAGATATTGATTTCACATTAACTGCGTTGGAGGTAAAATTAAATTTGATTTATCGTGTGTCAGTACATAATGAGTGTTGATTGTCTATGAAATAAAAGGGAGGACTTGCCATTAATAGTATGGAGAGTGCTGCTCTCAGAGTGAGGCTTAATGGGCACAATTCCCTGTCAGATGGCAGCAGTAGCTGGAGGCCTTTGGTCATGGAGGTAGTAGTTACACTTGTGTTTAACACAAAAAAAAAGTGTTACCTACCTGAATGTACAGTGAGTGCAGATGAATGCTTGAACTGAAGTTTGAAGTCTACCCCAGGGCACCCCCATCTGCAGAAAGTACAAGTAAAATAGCTCCCTGGCTCTGGATTCTTTAATGTGGGAGTGACTGTGGAGGGAATCTGTATGTGAGACATAATGAAAATATTTGATAGAAATTGTATGTGTGGCACATTCTGTTGGTAGGATGCTGGAGTCTAAAAAGGAAGCACAGGTCTTGTAAGAGAAGTGATAATGAGAGATTAGTGAATCCTTCCTGTGGGAAGAAGGAGAAAGGGACCAGGCCAGCAGAACCTGAACTGGGATTCTCAGGTGATACCAGCAGGTTAAAAAGAGGAACAGCAGAAGACGTTCCCATTCCATCTGGGTGTGGAGGTTCCTCAGTAGCTGATAAGTACTGGAGAGCTGTGCAAATCTGGGGACAGAATTCAAGCTAAGATGATGGAAGGAGAAAAGAGTTGTTTTGGAGCCAAGGAATATTCTTTTTGTTATGTGGGAACAGTTATGAGAGATTTCAAGGCTGCTTGTCCCCACAAAGAGATTGCTGTGGTCCTGGCGCTGGCAGGAGGTCAGGCAAGCTCTACAGTGTTAGGTTGAGGCAGAGGAGTGTGTTTCAGAGAGGGCTGAAGAAGAATGCAGGTCATAGGGCAGGGGTCTGCCTCGTTGGGTGTGTTTGTGGTGTATGGATTTGAAAAAAAATCTAAAAGCAGAATTTAGAAAAGGGAGTTGTCCATTCCTCCTCTGTTCCCAGGTAGGATTCTGCTAAAGTAGCCATTAGCTGGTTTAGTTTTACCGGAGGTTTAGGTCTGACCTTGAAGGTGCTTTAAATTGCCTCCTTCCTGTTGTGTTCTGAGAGACAAGAATCAGAAGTGGGGAAAATAACAGCTGTGAATTGTGGCTGAAGAGGCCAAGTGCTTCTGTCCCAAGCCCTGAGCAGCCTATGCTGGGATTGCCACTCCAGCTGGGAAGGATGGAGTCCTTGCTTTCCCTGGGGTGAGAACTGGGCAAGCCTGGATGTGCCCAGGCAAGTCTGCAGGGCTGGAAAGACCTCAGAATGTAACTTTCTTCTACCTTTCGGTTGACTTCTCCATTTACCTCATGAAAAATGCTCCTGTATTTCCAAAAGCAAAAGAAATCCTTCCAGATGCTCCTAAATTACGTTTTCTGTTTGCAGGATATCGACGTGATATTCAGCAACATTTCAGATATTCATGAGTTGACAGTGAAGCTTTTAGGACTGATTGAGGATACTGTTGAAATGACTGATGAAAGTAGTCCTCATCCTCTGGCTGGCAGCTGCTTCGAGGACCTGGCAGAGGTACAGTGTTTAGTTGGGTTTTGTTGGTTTTTTTCAAAATCACTGTTTTATTTTCTTAGTCAACTTTTGGTCATGACTCTGGTATCTTCAATAAATTTGCAGTTGTAATATGTTGGTTTAGTGTTTTCTACCTGTCACAGAACCTATATCAAGCAGGTAAGCACAAAGCTTATTTCAGAGTGGGAATTTGTTGCCACGATCCTGTAGGGATTTGAAAAGTAGTTGCCTGGGATTGACTACTGAAAGAAAGGTGCTGTGATCTTTGTAGGCATTGCTGTCAGCCCCAGGGCTACTCAAAAATCAGAGCAGTTGGACATAGGTCTGCAAGATGAATGACTCTATTGCTTTGGACAGAGAGCTGACACAAACAAAAGACGTTCTGAAGTCAAGCAAAGGCATTGTTACAAATCTGGAGTGGGAAATCTCTGCCAAGCAGTGGCTCTGGGAAGGAATTAAGGATCAAAACACACTTGACTAAACACAGACTTAGTGTTTAGTGTTGTAGCAACAGTGCTGTTGGTACCCACTGGTCTATAAAATAAATATTGAAGAGTAGCCATAAAGGAAGACACTGCAGATGGATTTGGTGTGGCTCATACTGGGACAGAAGGAATTGCTGCCAGGTTGTTTGGAGTTTTTTTCAATGGGCATTGACATACTGGAAGGACTACAGAAGCAGTCACAAAAGTAAAGTTCTTGATGAAGTTCTTTATGGTGAAGTAGAGCTTAGGTTAGTCAAAACAGGATAGGTTTACAGATACCTTCATGGCCTAAAAGCAGAGTGCAAATGACTGGAGCTCAGCAGAGAGGTGCACAGCAAGGAAGCAACATCTGAAAGGCAAGCAGACAGTTCAGCTTAGCAGTACCTCACAGCTTTTTAACTCTCAGGGGAGCTAACTCTTGGAACCAATTCCCAGGGTAGGTGGGGAGCTTTTGCTCTCTTTGAACACATTAAATGGAGTCTGCTTTTTCTTGAGAGGTGCATTGAGCCCAGTTTTCTGAGCCAAAACGTAAGAGTCATCATGTAAACCACGTGGACTGTGTGACAGGGGAAGTCAAATGAGACATTCTGGCCTGAGAGATTATCTCAGATGAACCACATGATGAATGAATGTGAAGTTTATGCTTTTTATCTTAAAATGATGACGTTTATAAGGAAAATTACAGCCAGTAACAATTTCAGTCTGTTTTTACTTATATTCAGGTTTTTAAATGTGAAGCCTGCATGAACACACCATTTAGAAAACGATGACATTTTTGTGGGTGTGAAGAATATGGGTCCTTCAGCCCATATGCCACTCACTTATGATTATGCCATAAAGATAAAATTTTCCTGGCATTGCTTCAGGAAGCCACTCACATGACCTATCAGTAGAAAAGTCCAGTTGACAGGGTCTTAGCTCTTAAGTTACTAAAACATAACTGTCTATATGATAGGGAGAAGCATTTGAACAGTGATTTAAAGTAGATATTAGGTTAAAATTGAAAAAAAGTCTTAAAATTTGAAATAATACAGCTCAATCCTGGAAAGCATACATATCAGTTTATTGCAAAAGCTGCTCTTCAGCATCGTGTGCTCCTAAGAGGAAAAAATCCTTTTTGGTGAGTAAAATTCTCACCTGATTTTCATGAACTGAAAAACTTAAAATAGGAGATGAAGAACAAATTATTCCTTTTTATGCAGGAAGTGAGTTTGAATTTAATGATTTAGTTAATACAGAGCAAGACATTCTTAATAACTAAGCTGTTTGATCATCTCACATGTTGAGATCCTCTTTCTGTGAGTATTTGCAAAAGGGATCGTTAGAGATATGAAGGTGAAGTGTTTATTTACTCTGCCTATCTCAACTGCCAGGCTTGTTCCCTTAATGTTTCCATTATTAAGGTCCTTCAACTTATTTAAAGGATAATTAAAAACAAACAACCCTTGCAAGCTGGAATCTTCCTGCTTTGTCTGTTTTTCTGCATCAGTTCCCTGGAAGTTTTTAACATAAATCTTGTGGTGGTTTTGAAATATAGAATTATGGGGAAAATGAAACTGTTTTTTCCAGATGTAGAGGGAATTTAAAAACTTGATTCCTGACACAAATGAGTGGGAGATGGGTATTTGTTAATATGCTGGTAAAAAAAGTTATCGGTGGTAATTTGATTGCCTTGAATCATTTCTTTAATGGCAGGAGAACCTCAGAGCTGGGGGCAGAGGGTCTTTGTGCCTAGTTTGAAGTGGTCTTCAAAAGGCAGCTAATAAAGCAAGGTTATTATCAGGAGTGTGTAGATTTGTTAAGCTGGTATTTGTTTCCATAGGAGAAGCTTTAGGTATCCACAAAGCAAAAAAAGATGGAAACTGGTGCAAAAAGGGGCTGAAATGTACAGAGACCAAGGCAGAAATGTGCTGCTTTTTAGATCACTTACATGGGCATCAAGTTAACTTCTCTGTATTTCAGTAACATCTGCAACATTGCAGGTGTAAAAACCATGGTTTTTAAAAAAGTACTTTCTTGGAGGAAATAGCTAATGCAGTTTGTTTCAGTCTTGTCTTCCAAAAAAAACCCCAACAACCCCAAAACTCGAAATACTTCCTATAAGTCTGAGTGGAATAAACTCAAAACGCTTCAGAAGTGCAGTAAAAAAATTGGAAAAGACAGCACAGAATAAAGCTGTGTTGATCTGGCTCCCCCAGTGGATTTGCATGCCAGGTTACATTTTGGGCAGGAGTTCTAGCCCTGCCTTCTGCTTGTCCTGCCGTGGGGAGGACAGAGCCCTGGAGCAGCTGCTGCCATCTCCCCAGCTGTGCTTCCTGCCCCTGGATGCAGCTGGACCCACACCCCATGGCTGACTTACTGCTTCTGCAGAGGGTTATCTCCTTTTTTTTTTTTTTCCCCTTGGCTAATAGAATAAGAAGCTGTAGGTGCAGTATTATTACCCCCTGGCTTTAATTTGGGCATTGTAAAAGAAGAACTCCTTGTTGTGTGCCTGCAGGTAGTGGGCAGGAGTGGAGTATATTGAGAGAAAAAAAAGTGTACATGGGCTCAGGTTCTGCTCAAGAAAATCAGGCTGTTCACTTAGTGTTTCAGCATTTTGTCTTCAGCTGCTGTGGCTGAAGTGCCAAACCTTCCCCCCATTCATCCCCCCTCCCAGATACAATCTAATGCCAATGGACAGCGATGATTCGGACTTGATGAGAAGGGCTGAGAGTGATGATTTCAATTTGCATGTGAAAGGAGAGTGCATTCAGTGCCTCTCCTCCCCACAGAGACTTGAGTTGCAGCTGCTCAGTGAGTAAGGTAGGAAATCCCCTGGGCCCTCTACAGATGGAAGGCTTGAGACTTTATCTCAGCGTTCCAACGAGTCTTTGAGGAGTTTGGTACTCCCAAGTTCTGTCAAGACGTTCTGCATTAAGGTGGAAAGAGGTATGTGCTTATTCTGGGCACAGAGCCATCAGCACCGGATAACCCAGTGATTCATGAGTGATTCAGCCCAGTGAATCTGCAGAGACTCAGGCTCAGCCTGGCAGGCTCCAGAGCAGGTGATCTAAGAGCAGCCATAAATTAGTCCTGCAGAGATTCATGTGCGGTCAGGTTTTCATCCCATCCTGCTGTGGATGATATTACAGGATCACAGCCAGAGACACCAACCAGATATTTGCACCTGAAACTCTTGGTGTCATTAGAGGACTTTCCTTGAGACTTTCAGGCTAGCTGCTTTGTCCCAGAGGGGGAGATCTCCTCAGCTTTATGGAGTGGCCAGAACAGTGTGCAGAAGTCCAGGGCTTATGAGTGACCCTTCTGATGTGCTGTATTCTGAAATCATAGAACCAGAAAAAGCCAGGTTGGAAGGGTCCTCAAGGATCATCTGGTCTACCCTTTCTAGGTAGAAACACAGTTTAAACAAGATGTTTCAGCACCTTGTCAAGCTGAGCCTTCAAAGTCTCCAATGTTGGGGAATCCACTACTTCCCTGGGGAGATTATTCCAATGTCCAACTGTTCTCATAGGGAAAAAACTCCTGATAGGGGTACAGCAATGCCTCCTGGTGACAGTCTCCAAAGTTCCTCTGCAGTGTCACTTCACCTGCACCTCTTTCCTTACTGGTAAATTGGAGGTAAATTGCCATTCTTTGTGAAATGTGGCTGGGCTGAAAGCAACAACTTTTCTTGGTTCCCAGTGCTTCAGTAAAGCAGTTTGTGTTGATGATGAGCACGGTGAGATTGAGGAATGCTGAGAAAACGTTGTATGAATTTAAAATTTGGAAGTGAAAATGGTTTGTGGTTTACTGAATATTTGTGTTGCAAAATTGATCTTTTCTTGAAAAGTTCCACTTGTGTATCAGCTTATTAAAGGAATTAATTGTACAGCTGGAGCAGAAATTCCTTGCATCCTTCATGTGTTTATGTAATTACCTGTGTTTCTTTAGGAGCAAGCCTTTGATCCATATGAAACTTTGTCCCAGGATATTCTGTCTCCACAATTTCATGAGCATTTTAACAACCTAATGGCAAAACCTGCTGTTGCTCTCCACTTCCAGGTGAGTGACAATGAGAAGTACTGAGCTGCTTTAGTTCTTATGTTTCAAAGGTTTGGATTTTGTCAGTAACTCTACTTTCTACTGAGGAAGAAATCCTCTGGATTCTGATCTTTCAGTGTAAGTTGTTTGGACTCTGCCTGTTCTTGTCAAAACTGGACACAGATCTGACCTGTCCATGAGTCTTCTGCCATATTTTTTTTTGCCCTGAAATCGGACTCCCTTGCTTCAGAACAAAGGGTGACCTCTCATACCTGTCATTTCTGTTTCTGTTGTGCTTTGTCATGCCAAACACTGCCACCCAGGCGGGACATTTCCGCTTTCTTCTTTACCCACCTTAAGCCCTCTTATTTGGTGTTGGGGCTGGGACTGGCAGCTTTCCTTGAACCATGTATGTAATAGGACTCTCCAGCAAGACAATTTTTTAATATATTTTTTCATTACTTCCTTCTGCCAACATGGCAGATCTGGTCAAGCCTGCTGCTGCTCAGAAGACCAAGCCTGTGCTCAGAAATCCGCCCAGAGAAGCTGCTGAGCGAGCGTGCGGTCAGTGGTGCTCCCAGCTAAACCCGTCATAGCAGCACTGGGTTTGTACAGTGAACTGGGGCCCAGGGCTCTGCAAACTGAGGTTCCTCTGAGCCATTCCTTCACTGTGGGTGTTTCTTCTTAAGCTCTGAGTGCTTGGGAAGCTACATCATCTCCATCTCACTCTTAAATACTACTTGGTGAATGAAGTAAGGCCTTTGTCCTCCTCCCTAGCAGATTTAAAGCCCAGAGCTCTGTTACAGACTGAAATGGGAATTGAGTCATTTCACAGTGAATTTGGCCTCCTTTCTGACTTGCCTTGCCAAGAAAGGCATGGGCTTTCCTAGGGATGTTCCTTCACACCTCTTCTCCAAGCTGTGGAGTGAAGGCAGAGGTCCAAGCTCTGGGCCAGGGATGTATATGAGCTGTCCCTGGCAATTGCAGAGAGATGCAGCCAGAAATCTCAAAGAAGGGAAGAGGTCATTTGGACAAGGGAGATCAGGTAATTCAGTTCCTGTTCAATAGGTATCTTGGTATGGAAGGTAGAAGGAATTTCACCATCCTCTAGAAAATCTCTGCTCACCTTACAGCGTGAATTAATGTGTTAGTTAACTGCTGGGAATGATAAAAGATTTCTAACTAATTTTTTAAGTCATCAAGTTGGGATTCTCAGATTCTGAGGGAGAAAGAGATACTAACAAAATTCTTCAGTACTTGATGAGACCTCTGTATTTCTGTGGTATATGGGGTGTAAGTTAAAGCACAGCATACACAGCTGGGAGGAAAGGAAGGGAGTGGAGTTGGTGACAAGTTTTTATTAGATTGTAAGGGAGTCCTGGCTGGTTTTTAACACTGCAGGATTTTCTTTAAATTCTGCAGCAAACAGTGACCCAGGGTAAAGCATGTTATTTTGGAAATAGGTATGAGCTTTGCTCAAAATATATTCCTGGGATGCAGTTGTTGAGTGGAGAACAAAGCGTGCAGCTTGGCCATGGACAGGGCATAATTTTTAGGTGTTTTCACCTTGAACTGATGCTTTTAATTGAGTTGTGCAGACAGTGCTGAAACACAAAGATACTGGAGGTGGTGGTAGGAGCCCCTCTGTGTGAATGAAAGGATGCTTATAAAATGACTAGTGGATAACCTGGTCCTCTAACTTCTGTATTTGATTTGCTACTTCTAGCAAAAATATGGCCCATCCAACTGGTTAGGCAGATTGTGCCAGAATTTGTGGGGCTTAGGGGTGTTGTTCTCAGAGCTGTGAGGATGCATCAAAATCCACCCAAAGCTGTTGATGGAAAAGGGTGTTTGCAGTGCCTGGAAGAGAGGGTGTTCACAGGTTCTGTTTGCCTGATGTCAGAGCATTGATGTGTCTCTAAATCTTACAGAAATTATACAGAAATATATTTGCAAACTTTGCCTTCCTTACTACTACTACATGTAGGCACAGAGTAATGTAGATTGGAAGGGACAGCCTGGATGTGTCCAGCTCAACCATCTTGCTCAAAGCAGTGCTACCTTCAGGGCCTTGTCTAGTCTGGTTTAGAGTGTTTTGATGTAAGTAACCCTGTTTATTTTTCCTTTTCAGTCTACTGCTGAGGGCTTTAAAGAAGCTGTCCGATACGTCCTCCCACGACTCATGCTTATCCCAGTCTATCACTGTTTGCACTACTTTGAGTTACTACAGGTAAATGAAGCCACACTCTTGTTCTGCTAAAAACACTTCTTAATGTGGAGAATCTGAGCTTTTAAATAGGCAATTGGATTGTACTTACTGCTTCTGGAAACTAAGATATGCAAACATTCGTTTGACACCAGTTAGTCTATGTCTGAAAAGTAAAATAATTTTTTTAAATTTTGAAAAGTATCTGTTGCTCTGATAAGAATATCTGAAGTGACTGTATTTTGTTAGACAAACTTTTATTGAACTTGAGTGCTAATATAGTTAAAACGTGATCTGAAGATCTCATTTCTTCATGCTGTGAGTTCTGAATTCTGTATCTGTCCATGAAAAGCCAAGCATAGTGGAGCTCAGTCTTTTCAGTCTCAAATTGCACTCCAGGTGCAGCTCAACTGATGATTTTGGGGCTTGGGGAGGCACTTCCTTTCAGCAGAGTCAGAATCCTGTGTGCTTAATGTTCAATCATTTTTCCTGAGTCCTAAAGGGAAGAGATACAGCATAAAATACCATTTTTCACAGTACACCACACTTCCTTCATATTGAGGAGGAATAAAAATAAGCACTATTATTTCCTTATTTTCTCTCTTCTAAGAAATGACATTGATGAAATTTCAGGCTTTATGGAATTCATATTTAGATGATAAAAACTTACTCCTGTATGACATATTTCAGGGGCCTTGCCATAGGAGTTGTTTAGGTTGGCATCTAGTCTGTATTTATGAGCAGTTCTGCCTGTGGAGGCATAACTTGTTTTAGAGCATTGGTTTGACCACAGATCATTTGCACATACTTCATTCTGATGTGCACTTGCAAGGTGTTTCACATCAGTAGATATTTCCCTTGGGTAGAACAGCTAAAAGCCAAAAAGTAACTGAGCCTCTGTCTTTTTGCTTACCAGCACATGTTTTTGCTGTGAGTTCAGAGCAGGCAGGCCAGCAGTCAGCAGAAATGTAACATCTGAGGTCTGTCATCATCTGTGGATCAGAAAAAAAGTAGTGTGGCTGTAGAAAATCTTGACACATATTTGGGATGGAGGGGTTTTATTTCAAGTAGCTGAGGATAATGTAAAAAAAGTTTCTGTTTGCCCTGCTGTGTTGGGAAAGTTTAGAATGCTGAGAAGGGTAAGTGAATTATCAACTGACTAGGACATGCTTCAGTGACACAGGTGTGACTATCCTATGACTGTAGCTGATGTTTTGGAAGTAGCAACAGCAAATGACACTTTTAAGTTCCTGATGTCAAAAGTGATACCAGCACTGTAAGGTGTGGTGTGTGCTCTTCCTTTGGATTGCACAGGACTTACTTCTGTGAAGGAAGAAAAGGAAACTTTGCAACATAGAATTTATGTATAATACAATAGAAAATTTTCTCAAAAGAATCTCAAGCCAAAAAAGAGCAGTTGTTTTAAGGCCAGGTCTGTAGTTAATATCTGGCACTTTTTTTTTCCTACTTCTCTTTTTAAGCTCAGTCTTAATTTTCATTTTGTCTGCTGTAATTGTTTTGCCTGTCCTGATTTAGGGAAGTAAAATAAGGATGATTTATTTTGACCCAGGAGCCACATATCTCCAATCTATAGCTTACCAGTATTTTGTAGAAAAGATTAAATCCAAGTATTCTCAATAGATTTTAAGACTTGAAGCATTTGTATTGTTAGTAAGTTTAGAAGACAAAAAAAATAGCCCAAAACAACCCCAAGAGTCAGTGAAATTTTCTCTTGATTACTGTATCATCTCAGTGGAGAACAGAAACTTTATATTGCCATAGTTTTAATATTTGCCTTCATAAATCTTATGTTTCTGTAAGAATAATTTCCAGAATAGTCTTTCTTTCCAAATAGTGTAACTTCCCTTTCTGGAATGGTCAGTTGACTACCATAATTCTCTAGAACTTCTTAAAATGATGGTCTTTCATGTTTAAAAGACATAATTGAATTAGTGACCTGTATGATGCTGGAGGTCAGGGTAATTAATGACCCATTGTGTCTGAAAGCAGGGAAGTGGAGTGCATCAGTGTGAAATTAAGGAATGAAATCATAGTGCTTGGGGAGAATCACAACCTCTAGCTGATGTTGCAAGCTGCCCAGTGTCTGTCCACTTGTTGGGGAATGTGAACAGAAGTCCCTTCCTGAGCAGAGTTTGGTGTGGTTTCAGAACTTCAGGTTCAATGCTGTGCATGCAAACTTGGTAGTTTTTTCTTCAGCGACAGGAAAGGCTGGTTACTATTTATAGTTGAAGCTGTGGCCCAGAGAAGGCAGTTTGGTTTTGACAGCCTGTCTTAAATCTGTGATGCTGCAATTGTCTGTCTCCTGGGGGCTCTGAGTCAGCTCATAACTGCAACTAATATTGATAAGGTCAGGTTATATGTGTCTTAAAATTACCTTGTTTGAAGAATAAAGTCTGGCATGTCGTGCAGAAACATGTTGTTTCTTTTATTTGTTTTTAACTTGGATAACGCAGCAGGATGCTGCAGGAAGGAGAATACTGGGCAATGCTTTTTTTAAATAGGGATCTTAAGCAGTGAAAATTATGGAATTTGACCATTTCCCACAGTGTCGATGATTTCTGAATAGAATTAGAATTCAGCTGCAGAGGCTGATACTTGGCTGTCTTGAATCTTTCTAACCTTTTGAGTATAGAGCAGAAATCTTAAATACCCCTGAGTGAGTGATGGTAAATAAAGTCTTGTTGTGATCACTCCAATGTTTTAACATTTCTTTTAAAAAGCAGATGTTTAAAATTTGAATTTTATGTTTTGGTCTGAAAACACCCTATATTTACTCTGCTTTTTGAAACATCACTTCTGTGTTTTTAGGGATAGATGAAGTATTTTTTCAACCTGTTGCTACTGCTTCTGATGTATTTGTCTGTAGGAACGGTGGTTGAAAAAAACCTAGCAAGAATGGAAGCAGGAAAGCAACAGAATAGTCACATTTTCATGGCTTCTGTAGGGAGAGAAGTTAAGACAGACTGTGACCCCTAAAGGAAGTCACCAAAAATCCCCTACTGAATTGGGAGATAAATAAGATAATGAATTATTTACAGGAGAGCAAGGGATTGCTCTTTCGCAAAATAGCAAAAGTAAAATTAACTAATTAATTGTGGAAAGCTTGAAAATTCTTTAAGGCTGTAGAACTTTTCTCCTTGGTGTGATGAAAACCTGGTTGTGCAGCCTCTGAAAGCAGGATCTACTGCGGAGATTCCTCTTTGCTTAAGCAGGAGGCACAAGGGTTGGATGCAGCTTAGAGACCCCCATTTTGGGAGTTGTTTGGTTTGTCTGCTTTTGGTTAGTAGCCCTAGAGAGGTGACCAGGAAGTAACCTTTGAACACACTGAGTCAGAGGGCAGGCCTTGGTGTCACTGTTAATATTGATGGCTTGTTCAAGTATCGACAGCAGGTGAACCTGCTGTGGGTTGTGTCGGGATGACTGATGATGGCAAGGACTGAAGGAAGTCATGCTAAAGAAATAGAAGTGTCTCGTTGGAAAAAATAGAGGTAGACATCAGAAGCTGTTAGGTATTGCAAACAGGTAACCCAAACGTATTCTGATAGTGACATCTTTAATTGGTTATAAGAATATTCAGGTTTAAAACACCGTGCTTGACATTTCCAAGCATGAACACCTGAATGCTGGCAGTGTAGAGGAGAGCTTAAAGTTTCATCAGATGTTCCAGCTCTGGGTATGTTTTCATAAACATGTTCGTTGATACCAGAATTCCAGGAAACATTATTCATTGAATGCAGCGTGAAGAATCAAGGGGTAACGTAATCCATCCAGATCCTGAGCAAGGTGCCAGGTAGATCACAGAATGGTCAGGGTTGGAAGGGACCTCTGGAGATCATCCAGTCCAAACCCCCTGCTAGAGCAGGATCCCCTAGAGCAGATCACACAGGAACATGTCCAGACAAGTCGTGAAAGTCTTCAGAGAAGGAGACTCCAGAGTCTCTCTGGGCAGCCTGTCCCAGGGCTCCGTCACCCTCACAGTAAAGAAGTTTTTCCTCATGCTGATCTGGTCCTGCTCTGGGCAGGGGGTTTGGACTTTATGATCTCCAGAGGTCCCTTCCAATCCCTGACATTTTGTGATTCTGTGAAATTCTGCTCAGGACATGTAAGGAGAAGGAGTATTTATCAGACTCAGGAGCTTTTCCTATCTCTAGGGTTTTGCATCTTTCCACTCCATCTTCATGTTCTTTGCATTTCTGTGGCTGACAGGAAGGAAAAGAAGGGTTTCCACAGAGATAGACATTTTTCCCTTCCCTGTACCGTTCCTCAGCTCATAAACTTCCCAGAAACTTTTGGCCATGAAATGTTCACTTCTCCAGTAGGGAAGATGGAGGTTGTTTGGCATGTGAAAAATAAAATATTTAGTAATTTAAATTACATGAGGGGAATGGACCAATCTGGTCAAATCCTGTTCTCTCAATTACTTTTAGAGGAAGATACATATCCTTGCTGAGGGAACGTAGTGGGGAAAGGAAAAGAAGGCTTCTGCCATGCTGAGTGATTGTAAGTAAGATTTCTCTTAAAGTATGGAGATAAAAACAGAGATGATCCAGAATTGCGTGGCATGTTGTCTTGGTTTTGCCCAGCACTCTTTGTTTGGGTTTTCTTTAAAAAAAATAATGTGATCTTGAACATGAAAGGGTTTAAAGAGAAAAATCTCTCTTACTTACATCAGTAGTATTTTAGGAGTGGTCACCTTAAGGAACAATTTTCTATTAGTAGCACATCTTGAATTTCAGACTCTTTTTTTTTTTTTTTTGCTATGTTAGTTTTCATCACACAAAATTGACATTTTTTCTTGAAATAGATGAGTTTGCTGAAGGTGGCAGAATTTAGACTGGTAAGAAGCAAAGAGAGAATCTTGGTAATTTAGCAGGGTGTGTAGTGATAGGATGATGGGTAATGGTTTTAAACTGGAAGAGGAGATACTTAGGTCAGACATTACAAAGAAATTCTTTGCTGTGAGGGTGGTGAGAGCCTGGCCCAGGCTGCCCAGAGAAGCTGTGGCTGCCCCATCCCTGGCAGTGTTGAAGGGCAGGTTGGATGGGGCTTGGAGCAACCTGGGCTGGTGGGAGGTGTCCCTGCCCATGCAGGGGGTTGGGACTGGATGATCTTTAGGTCCCTCCCAGCCGAAACCAGTCTGTGATTCCATCTTTTAAATTTGCTGTGAAATTTTGAGATTGAGTCATTGAAGGAATGTGACACATAGTTACGTAAACCAGCATTTAATTCTCAGCTATTTCAAACCTCCAAACTGTTTAATAAAATCAGTTGTGAAACAGGACATTGTTGAAAAGATAACAGGAAAAAGAGTGTCTGACAATTAGCCTTGGCCCTTGGTAAGATGGGAAAGGGTTACCTTTCTAAACTCCCTCCTCCTCTCTCCTGCTAAGTATCTGTTGGCTTCTCCTGAATATTTGACAAATGTTTTTAGTTACACACGTAGCTTGTGAATTTGCTTCTAGTAATAACTCATTACATTGAGTCACTGACTCGCTGCCTACCCTAGATAACGCTGTGTAAGAGTGTTCATCCGTCTTTCTACCTTTCTGTAAATCAGATCTGAAAGAGAAAATGTTTGTTATGTCCCAGCAATTGCAGGAGTGCAGTGAGGATGAAGAGGACCGGGAGTGCCTCAAACAAGCCATTACTGCTCTCCTGAACCTGCAGTGCAGCATGGAACGCATTTACAGCAAATACTCCCCAAGACGCCGGCCTGGGTAATCATCCACAGAGCTCCCCTACCTTCCCTAAGGTGGCAGAGGGGGAGAGAAATTATATGGAAGGGATTGTAGTTTTTTTTCATGTTAGATAATGTGTGTTTTCCCTTTTCAAGGCATGTCTTTATGCCAGTTTTCATTATAAATGGAGTAGCAGCCCAAAACCTTCACTGTCCACTTGTGGGGGTAATGTTTAATATCTTGCTCTTTCCCCAGCCAAAGCAGTGCACGTGCTTTATTTGCAGCAGTAAACATGGGTTAGGGCATAATTAAGACAAAGAGACAATGATATGAACCATTAATTTAGCCAGATGTTTTGGGTCTGCTGGGATGGCAAATGGGGAAGGTGTCCATTATGACTTTTTCTTTCATCCCTTCAAGGGAGCCAGTCTGTCGCTTCTATAACCGACAGATAAGAAGCAAGCACTTGGCCATCAAGAAAATGAATGAAATCCAGAAAAACATTGATGGCTGGGAAGGCAAAGATATTGGGCAGTGCTGTAATGAGTTCATAATGGAAGGAGGCTTGACAAAAATAGGAGCTAAACACGAACGCCACATCTTCCTCTTCGATGGTTTAATGATCAGCTGCAAAACCAACCACGGTCAGTCCCGGCTTCCCGGTTACAGCAACGCAGAGTACAGGCTGAAGGAGAAGATCATCATGAGGAAAATACAGATCATTGATAAAGATGACACGCCTGAATATAAACATGCTTTTGAGCTGGTGTCTAAAGATGAGAACAGTATTCTGTTTGCTGCCAAGTCGGCTGAAGAGAAGAGTAACTGGATGGCTGCTCTGATTTCCCTCCAGTATCGCAGCACGCTGGATCGGATGCTGGATGCAGTGTTACTGCAGGAAGAAAATGAACAGCCCCTGAGGTTGCCCAGCCCAAACGTGTATCGTTTTGTGGTGGAAGACTCGGAGGATAACACTAAAAAAACGACACTCAGATTTTATCACCTTCACCTCCTACTCATCTCTACTAAGAATATAAACAGCAGACAAGGTATACCACATGTATGCAGGTATCCTGTACATTTGTTCTATCTATATAGTTTTTAAGGTCATGCTTGTATGGGTGAATGAAATTAGTCCTTTTATCTTTTATTTGGGCCTGTCTTATTCTGAGCATAGTTAAATGTAAAGCATTTGCAGAAAAACCCACACGTGTTATCTGTTAATAAATCAACTGGGTTTGCTGGCAAAGCTATAAGAATAGTTTGGGTATGCAAGCCTCTCTTTCTCCCCCCCAAAAAATACTAGCAATCCAATAGGAGCCACTAGTGTGTTTCCTGAGACTATTATGGGTGAGGCAGTGGGGCTGTTAGAGTCTGTGTGACTGTGGATGAAGAAGAAGGTTAGAGGTTGTATTATACTTCAACCCTCCGCTTTGTGACATCCCTCAGTAGAAAAGGATGCAAATCACAGTCAGCATTCTTCATGATTTCCTGTGGAATACTGCTTTAGAGTCACAGAGGTGCAAGCTTGAAGTAGTTACATGAAGTGCTAATGTTGATGAAAATGTTAGATCTTAGGTTTGGATGAAAAACAGGCACTGGGAGGGGTGAAGCTGACACGAGGATGGATGTGGTGTGCAATTTTTGTAAGACTTCTCCAATAGTGATGGTCTCCTGTGTGCTTTTTACAAAACTGCCTGGTATTTAAGTCAGTCTCTTTTGTGAAACTAAGGCTAGATAGTGTGGAGCTTTGTGTAAAATAAATAAATAAATAAACAAACAAAAACAAAAAAACCAACGAGCATTTCCCACAATGAAGCTCAGAATTGAGGCAGCTAGTTGGTATGCAGGTAGTTGTGTTGTCTGTGAGTCCCAAGTTGTCCATTTCTGAGATGGGATGGATTTTGGTGGCTTGTAAGCTCATCTCTCTCCTTGAATGAACTGGTCTGTTTGAGTATTAGTTTCCTAGCAGAACTTCACTTTTTATAGTGCAAGTACTTATCACTTTGGCCTTGGGAATCTCCAATGTAAGAATTACCTCCTGGGTTTCTGCCTCCTTTTTCCAAGCAGTATTTACAGCCAAGACTAACAAAATCCTCTCCCTCAGCCTCCACAAGGGCAGTTTGATGACTAACAGCATGAGGAGGGACTCTCAGCAGATCTTGCTGGTGCTTTTCCTTTATATTTAGGTCAAGATGTGATTTTTATAAACTGTCACTTTACGGTAGGTTTGTGTTGGTTCCAGATTTGTTTGAAGTGGGCATTCTGCATTCCCAGAATGACTTCTGGCATGTCCAGGAAGTCCCCAGTTGATATCAGGACGCCATGTGAGGTGGCAGATGCAGGGTTAATGAACTGTTGCATCTGTATCATAAGCCACTATCTGTAGCACATTGCTTATCTTTGCTGTATTCTTGACAATGTCATTTACAAAATACGAGTCATTTAAAAAATCATATAAAGAAACTTACACAGGTTAGAGAGCAGGGTAGCAGCCCCCAGTTTAAGGGAACTGCAGATCTTGCAGAGATACTCCCTGCCTGTTGAGTGGGAAGAGGAAGATTACTTTTAAAATGTCATAACTAATGCTGAAGAGTGAAGGTAGATGTGACGTGGAAGCAGAACAGGCCAGTGCAGAAGTAGGGTGCAACCTCAGCAGCATTCTCACAGAGTGACAGCACTACTACTTTTAGCTTGCAAGCACTTTCCTACACGTGGATCCCTTAAAAATGTGGAGCCCTGCTCTGCAGGGCATTTAAGCCTTCTTAAAAGCAGTGTTTGTCTAAATCTGTTATGGGTTTATTGGGAGAAATTCACTGCCCAGATTCTGAAGACTGCTGGTGTGACGTACCTGCCCCTCCTGCTGACAGGTTCAAGACTGTTTAGAGAAGAGAAAAAAAAAAAAAAGAAATTCCTCTAACAACTCAAAATTCACTCTTCTGAGAGAGCATATGCACATGCACTTCTCCAGGCCTGGTTTTCCTGTATTTCAGCATTCATTTGCTCCCAGGCAGCTTCTTGCTGCTGCTACAAGGGTCTGGTGCATGGATATCAGGGATTAGGACCAGGTGATGACCCTTCCTGGCTCATAGTAAAAGGTTTTATCAGTTTGCTCAGTCATGAGCTAATAAACTCTGTACAAGGGAGTGAAATAAAAAGAGTTGAACAACATTTTTCCTGTAAGACTTCTACTGCAGCAGAGAAGGCCCAATAAAACACCTGGTGGTTTGTGGAAAGGCAGGTCTCCTGGTAACACACCTACCACAGGTGAGGAGCAGCAGGAGGGAGGTGTGGTGGCTCCTGGAGATGCAACCTCTAGAGCTGCTGCAGGTATTTGCTTTGTAAGGTCTCTGCTGCATGTCATCTTTCCCCTGCTGTGTGGAGGGTTGCTGTGTGCTGGGGGAGCTCTGCAGTCCCCACTGCTTGAGAGGTTTTCAGAACAGGTAAGCCCAGCGTCTTGACAGAGCGTTACAGGGATTTTTTATGTCCAGGGATTAGACAGCCTCGTTCTACCATGTTTTCTTGGTATTTCTGAAACCATGGAATATGGGCACACTCAGGGAGCATAAGGCATTCCATGTGCCAAGACTGGGACAGAGTTTTTGAGAGAGCAGAGGATGGGCAGTTGAATAATGCGACAGGAGAAATGCCTCGAAGAACTGTATGGAAGTTTCACAAGCAGTATTGTTTTCTGGTGTTGTTCAAATAGCAGTGCTTAACTTAAAACCTTAGTGTATTTTCTGCACTTAAAGCTTTTTTCTGTGTGTATTTATGGTATTTTGCAATTGAGTAAAAAAACCCCACTCAGTCATTTCCTTACTGTATCTTCACAGATCCTAATTTTGTCCGTACTTTCCTTACCACATACCGCTCGTTTTGCAAGCCCCAGGAACTGCTGAGCTTGCTGATTGAGAGGTAAGCACAGTGATCATCCTTTCTGAAGACATTAAAGGACTTCGTGTTCATTTACCTGCTCCTTTTCTGGCCTCACCTGCTCCTTTTCTGCCCTTACCTGCTCCTTTCCAGCTCGGGTTCTCAGTGCCGTATGGCACATGTTTTAGTGAAGCTCATAAAGCAAGTAAAGAGATGGAAGTTTTCCATGCAAGCTTCCTTTCCCAACGTGTTGAATTAGTTGCCTGAATTAAGTGCTGGAGCACCTGGTGTGCCTCAGCTGTGGGGTGGTGATGTTTGGAGCTGCTTAACTTGATCCTGAGCATGTGTTTGAGTACTCCTGAGTCTCCATGCAAATCAGAACGGAAATGTTCATAACAGTTGGTTGGAAAGGCACAGACTCTTAAATGTAAACAGCTTTTTAATACAGTGTGATAAAGCCACTCTTAAGCTTTCTTTTAATCTTCACTTAATCAAGCTAGCAGGTAGTTAAAAACCTTATATCCTAGTCTAGACATCTTGTGATTACCAGGGTGTGATAGCAGTGCCCAGCCAGGGCAGGAAGGAATTCCAGGCAAACTGGATATTACAGGAGTGCTGGAGTTTCACCATGCTAAACTATTCTTTTTTTTTTTTATGCAATTGCTCTTCATGTCCTACATTAAAGGCTTGTGTTTTATCATAATTGCCATCAGTTTTTTGGTGGTTTTCTCCCTAGGTTTGAAATCCCAGAGCCTGAGCCCACTGAAGCAGACAGGCTGGCCATTGAGAAGGGGGAGCAGCCCATCAGTGCAGACCTGAAGAGATTCCGCAAGGAATACGTCCAGCCAGTGCAGCTCAGGTTGGTTTGCTTTTCCTGTTGTTCTGTTCAAGCCAGATTTTAGTCCCCTGATTATACAGTGACTCTGGAGACAGTAATCTCTTCTGGAGACTGCTATGCTGTCCAGTAGGGACTTAGCACTGTCTGCAACCAGACTAATAGCCCAAACCATGTTCTGATTAGTCACACTGACTTCTGTTGTTGTTGCAACTGCAGTTGGGGTCTGTGCTGTGCACAGCTGTGATCCCACCCACCAGAAGGCTGCAGGGTTGTGGGTGAGAGATGCACAACTGGAAGTGTTGCTGACTGCCTCTCAATGGGCTCCTTGTTAACAGGCCCTATCAAGATTGTTTCTCTGTTTCCATTTTTTTCAGTCCTGCTGGTATTTTACTCCCTTTCCCAGCCCTGTTGATGTGTTTGCACACAGACAGGGAGACTCTTGTCTGTCCTGCACATTGCAATGGGCTGCAGTGGATCTTCAAGGTCTTGCTGATCAAGCTAACTTGGGGAACAATTAAGCATTTCTAGCCTGAATGAGGCTAATTGTTTCCCTAACAGGAGCAAGCTGGGAGGAGACACAGTTCACAACCTATACTTGTTAGAACAACTTCTGTTTGTTAAACTGTTTTTATTATTAGCATCAAGATGTTACTATTAGTGGCAGATAATTATATGCACAGTACCCTCAGTTATTGCCTTACCACAATCATTCATAGTTACCTGTCTGGAGCAGCAGTTTATTCCAAGTGAAGGGTCATACTGACACACCAGTACCTACAAGGTGGGTGTTCAGAAAGTCACTTAGGAGCCCCATTTTCATAATTTTTTAAAAATAAATTTGTCTGTAATACTCTAGTGTTTGTGGAGATACAGCTGCCACCACCCTCTTGGATGTACTCCAGGTTATACAACCTCAGTGTAACCTTCAAACTGGTGTGTGCTCGTGACCTTGAACAGATTTTTCAGGCCCTTGGTGTTCCCAGTTTAGAGTTACCAGTTCTCAGGAGAGCTTCACAGGCTGCCTCTCAGCATGTACTTGTCCTGGTTTCAGCTTGCTGCTTTCTGTTAGCTTTCTCTGCATCCATCCACACAGGTGTGTACAGAACCTCTCCACAGAAACTTGCACAGAAGGGGCTTTTGTGACATTTCAATCGTCTTGTTTCAATATTGTTGTATTACTTTTGTTGCTGTTTGTTATAATCTCCTCTATTGACTAGAATTGAGGTTCCTTGGGGACCTCCTCGCAGTGCCCCCTTTGCATAGCACAGATGCACCTTCCTGTAGCTCTGCTGCCTGCCTTGGCTGAGCAGGACAAGGAGTTACCAATGAACTGGAGCCTGTAGAAAAGTTTGAGGCAGCAATTAACTCCTTTTTTGTGCTATTTATTTCCAAAATCAGTTTAGCACTCCTTCATATCTTCTGTTTGAGCTATGTCCCATTCCAAAGTTTCCAGGGTTTCTGGTTTTCCTTTCTGCTCTCTTTCCTTGTTGGAGAGATTAGGAATCATTTTGTCATGACAGCTACTCTCTGTCTAGTTTGTGCTGTGGCTGGTGAGCTGAATCCCTTTACAGATGCCTGCTTGATGAGAGATGTGGTTTAAAGCTGCTATTTAACACACGCCCTTCTGTGGCTTATAATTAATCTTTGAATTTAGGAGACACTACATGTTTCTAGTAGCTTGAAACCCTTAACTGTGTTACAGTTGAACATGGGTGTCTGAATTTGAGCTGTTAGGCTGGTATGCCCAGCACTTTGTAATTCTGAGTTCTGTTAGTAGCATTGCCCCTCTGCTTCAGAGAGGTCTAACATCTGGGAAGAAGGTGGAGAATGTGAAGATGCTAATTCCTCCCTTCTTTGCTTCCTTCCCTCCTCAGCACTTGATCCCATTTTGTAGAAAGCACTGTAGACAGGCTGTGCAGTGCACAGGCATGGCAATGGTGATGTCTTTGGAGTAAAGGCATGTGAGGTCATGAGAAAGAGGAGGTAACAAGCTGGAAATGCAGTCAGCAGAACCAGGCAATCCTCCTTGTTTTTGCAGTATTCCTGCCATGGTATCTCAAAGGCAAAGACTGATTAGATAAGATCCTGTATTACTGTTGGTGGGAACTTGTTTCCAAACGTCACTCCTTTGACAGGTACTGATTTCCAGCCTAAATGACCTGCTTGGGTAGCCATTTTTCCCTGGGATAAACCTTATTCTTTAACTTACACACCAGGAAGAGGATAATTATTTCATTCTCTGTGTATTCACATAGACCCTTCATTTGACTGAGCTGAACCAGCCATCTTTTCCAGTGCTCTGACTCACAACAGACTGGCAGATGACAATCAGCTGTCTGCCCTGACCCCTCAGATGTTCTACCCCCACTCCACAGGGCTGAGCCACCAGGAACACTGATCTGAGACACAATTAGCACTGGTTCACCCAAACAGCCCAAGCTGCACAGAGAGGCAAGTTAGTTCAGCAGCACTTGTACACAGCTGAGCCACTTCTGCAAAGGCAGTGGGGCAGGAGTAACCCCATCTCACTGTAACCACCTCCTTCCCTCCATTAACCCCATCATCCTGTTAAATTAGCACAGGGAAAATCTGTTGTACTGCTTGGTGCAGGAGATTTTTGCTCACTCTTTAGGAAAGGTGATATGAGGCACCTTGATAACTCACACTTTTGAGGTATAAGCTCAACTTGTTTACCTGAAGAAGAGGCAAAGCCATTTTTTATTCTGATACATCCTAAGAGTAGAAGGCAGAAGAGCAGTTGCACTTCACTTTTTAGAGGTTTATTAATTAGTGATCTGTTTAATAAAGTATAAAGAAAACTCAAGAGTTTAATGCTACCCTCAGAGGAGTTACAGGAACTAGTACAGCCATTTGTGTAACTAAGAAGTTATCAAAGTAGGGCAGCATACTTGCAGCAACTTCTAAGCTGAAGTTTTTGTGCAGGAAAGAAGCAATTACAAATTTATTTCTTAACAAATGGGAGCTTTTTTATTAAAAAAGAAAAACAATCAGTAAATCACATCAGAAATACAAGTTTTCTCAGATTTTGGTACATTTTTTTCCTATTCTGAAACCACCTCAACAGTAACATCCTTTATGTGAGATGTAAAACACCACCAAACTGTTTCTATGCTAAAGCAGGAAAATGAGGGGACTTCTGTGGTGATTGGTGCCTGGTCTTTGTTCTGCCCCTTTGTCCATCATATTTTGATTGTTGTCAAATACATGAACCTGTAACTCAGCTTTTGTGCAATTGTCTTTAGTGCTTACATGGGATGAGCCCTGGAAACACAAGACATAATCTTGCATTTTTTTTTCTCTCCTTTCTCAGAATATTGAACGTTTTCCGTCACTGGGTCGAGCACCACTTTTACGACTTTGAGAGAGATCTGGAGCTCCTAGAGAGATTGGAGACGTTTATTTCCAGTGTCAGAGGTATGGTGATGGGTGCTCCTGTTGTTCTGCCACCTTTTGGTGCAACCTGCTGGTCTAATCCTGACAGGTTTTAGGCATAAGAATATCTTTACACACATGAGTCATTATGATGCCTGGAATCAAGCTGTTTATGAGACTCTCCTTTACATGAGCAAGCTTTGGCCTGAGCCTAAACAGCTATCAAACATTATTCCAAGCATTGTATTTAACTTAAGTGTATTTACTTCTGAAAATCACTGTCCTTTTAGGAGCAGCTACCTGACCCATTTGGTATCACCTCCTCTGGACCAATCCTTTATAAACAACCAGGTTTTTTTAGCAGCCTGTGTGGAGGGCAGCAGTGCTGGCATGTCAATTTTAGTCATTATCCTGGCAGTTCTAGACTTCAGTTTTGAGATGCCAGACCCTACATGGGGCAATATAATTCTGGGACAAACTCAGAGAATGGTAGTTTATCTTTTGCAGAAGTCTCCATTACTGACCAGAGAGGAATCATCCAGTTCTGATAAGTCTCTTAAAGGGTATTTGTCTTGAACTGCTGAAGGTCCTGCAGGTCTTGTCCACCATTTTGTGTACAGCAAGTTTAATTTTTTAGTTTGTCTCCTTTAAGTAGATGAAGCTAATGAAGTGGAGATGGTTGCAGCTGAGGGGGAAAAAGTAAGATAAAAGGTATACAGGGTCACTTTTTTCCCACCCCAAAACTGCCTGCAAACATTGGTTAAATGCAACTGGGCACCTGAAAATTCGTTCACATGTCTGCACTTGCCAACTGATACAGGTGCAAGAACTCATAAGAAAAAGAAATGGAGAACTACAAACCTAATTAATTTGCCTGCAGAAGAGCAGATTTTGGAGCACATGTACATGTTTTTGGGGGGTTGGTTTAATGAAGTTATCAAAAGTCAGTTAAGATAATTTTTTTACCGTGAGAGTGACAGAGCACTGGAACAGGCTGCCCAGAGAGGTTGTGGAGTCTCCTTCACTGGAGACATTCAAACGTGCCTGGACACGTTCCTGTGTGATGTGCTCTGGGTGACCCTGCTCTGGCAGGGGGGTTGGACTGGGTGAGCTTTCCAGGTCCCTTCCAACCCCTAGGATTCTGTGTGATTCTATGGTATTTAAAGAGAGGTTTTTAAACGGTTTCTGTTTTGCAGGAAAATCCATGAAGAAGTGGGTGGAATCAATTGCTAAAATCATCAAGAGGAAGAAAGCTCAAGCAAATGGGATTAGCCACAACATCACCTTTGAGAGCCCACCCCCCCCCATCGAGTGGCACATCTGGCGTGTGGGGCACAGCGAGACACTGGACCTGATGACTCTGCACCCCATCGAAATAGCTCGTCAGCTGACACTGCTGGAGTCTGACCTGTACAGGTAGGGCCTGAACAGCACAAGCCTGAGGTTATTGGAGCAAGAATCACAGAATGGATCAGGCTGGGAGGAAACTTAAAGATCATCAGGTCCAACTCCCCTGCATGGGCAGGGACACCTCCCACCAGCCCAGGTTGCTCCAAGCCCCATCCAACCTGCCCTTCAACACTTCAGGGATGGAGCAGCCACAGCTTCCCTGGGCAGACTGGGCCAGTGCCTTCCTACCCTCATACTGAAGAACTTCCTGATGTTCAACCAAAATCCCCCTTCTTCCAGTTCAAAACCATCACCCCTTGTCCATCACTATCTTCTTTGATGAAAAGCCCCTCCCCAGCTTTCCTGGAGCCCCTTCAGGCACTAGAAGGTGCTCTAAGGTCTCTCTGGAGCCTTCTCTTCTCCAGGCTGAACACCCCAACTCTCCCAGCCTGTCTCCAGAGTAGAGCTGCTCCAGCCCTTGGATCATCCCTGTGGCCTTCTCTGGACCCTCTGCAGCAGCCCTATGTCAACTCAGAATGAATTCTAATTTGTAGAATCAGTCAAAAGTGGGTCTGCTTGACTTTCTTGCCATCTGTTCAAGATGAAAATATGCAAGGCAAAATAAAAGTAAAGGTTTTTTCATCTCCATGTCAGACTTGTGACAACCTAAATAAGTACAAGAAGGACACTAAAATATTATGAGTAGATAATGGTCACTTGTCATTTTGTGAAAAGGAAACTTAGTGTTAAATTACTAAGAGAAGCTTGTTGCAGCATAGAGAGAGAACACGATGGTCTCTGCTCCAGTCCTTGATAGCTGCACAGCAAAGGCCCAGGTGTTACGTGCATGTGACTTGAGCACTGGTACATCAAGGTCCTCTAATGTAATTCTGAAGAGGTTTTTTTTGGTCTGGTGCCAAAAATGCTCTGCTGTTTGCTAGCTCAGTTGTTACCTGTGATAGAGCCAGCCTTGATGTGAGAGCTTGGTTTTGCTGGGTTGGAATTCTTTATGGTCTTGCAAAACTCAAAGGTGAAGAATCCTTTTGTGCCTCAGTCACAGCAGATGTGTTGTTGAAATAGACCACTTTTCCAGCAGGTTGCTCAAAGAACTTCAGCTTCCCATTTAAAAACAACAAATTGTAACTGCCTTTAAGATGCTTTCTTATGCTTTCAGGAAATTCAACTTAGTCCTTTGTAATTTTTTAATCTGAAAACGCTTATTCAAAAATGCCAATTTCAATTAAGATAGAAATGTATTTCCTTCTATAGTCAAGTACTCATCAAAAAGTTACTTTAACTGTTCTGCAGTAGATGAGATTGTATTTGTGAAATGCCAAGTCATGATGAAGGGAAGAAATAATCTTTTAATGCAAACACGGAACATACAATTCGTGGTTGTATTCAACATTCTTTTGCATCTTGCTTTGTCATTATCAGGGCAGTGCAGCCTTCTGAACTCGTTGGTAGTGTGTGGACTAAAGAAGATAAGGAAATTAACTCCCCAAATCTCTTGAAAATGATTCGTCACACTACAAATCTCACTCTTTGGTTTGAAAAGTAAGTACAGGTGGTGATAGCCCTGTGGCACTAACTCCTCCTGAGATACAGAGAGAAACATTCTGCTAGAATTCCTTGCCTGGAGTTGAGGTGGCTGTGGGGCATTGCAGCCATTTCAGTTGTGGTTCAGGGCTGCCTGCCATGGCAATTCCATCTGCTCCCACTTCCTGGGACTGGAAGATTTTTTTTTTCCAGTGATGTCCACTGGGTCAGCATGGGTCCTACATGCATTCATGCAGTACATCAAAAAGGTGCTGAAGGCAGTGCAGGACTCAGCACCACTTTTCTACATCTCTGATGAAAACACTGTTGTGTCTGTCCCCTTAATCTTAGTCTCTCTCCCTCCTCTTGTGAGATGATTAAGTGCTGCTGAGGTCATGGCCAATGCTGCAATCAGAAGGATGGAGCAGCTTGTGGGTGTGGATCCACCCTAGGGGGTTAAAAATGCCACTGCCCAGGGCCACCAGAGTCACCCTGCTTACCCTGCATCTCGCTTGGGGTTTGCTTTATTCTTTCACAGGAGATGCCAAAACCTCTCTTGGCTTTCCAACTTGAGCATATGTAAGATGTGATTACATCAATTTGTACTTGAGGTCCTTGAGAGAGAGCCAGACTGTGCGTGCTGGATGTACTGGACCCTTCTTGCTTGGGAAAATCTTGATCTAGGAACTAAGCCAGGTTTTATTTATCAGGGTTTCTCAAATTATGTTTTTTAGGTGCATTGTGGAAACAGAGAACTTTGAGGAGCGAGTGGCTGTGCTGAGCAGGATCATAGAAATCCTGCAGGTTTTTCAAGACCTGAATAATTTCAATGGTGTTTTGGAGATTGTCAGTGCAATGAACTCTGTGTCTGTGTACAGACTAGATCACACATTCGAGGTAAGTTTTGGGCATTGCTCTTGAAAAAAATTAATCATGCACCAGCAAAGTATCACACCCACTTCTGAAGTGAAATGCGTAGTGTCCGTGTCACACTTGCTTTGATGGAAGAAAACAAGTGTGAGATGTTCAAAGTTCTGTATGAGAAAACATGGTTGTCTCAAAGGGTATCTCATGGGAAGTGGAGCTTTTCTGCAGATATTTTCTCATGTGCATTCAGCCCAAGAAGAGGAAAGTCTGGGGCCAGTCAGTTGTTGTTCATGAACTGGCCTGAGCTGGACCTATTGCTGCAGTCCAGAATTGGGTGGGTGTGAAAGAGGAGGATCCCAGGGCTGAGAATCCTAGACTTGAAACACTTTAAGAGCAGCATTTCCTACCTACACCAGAAATGTGGAGGTCCAAGGGAATGGGGAGGGGATTGCTAAAACTCACAATTCACATTTCATTCAAATCTGAATTTCATTTCCTAAGTTTTGCTGAGATAGCTGAGGAATTGCCTTGGTTTTGCTAACCATGCCACTAAGAACACTCACATCCCTTTTTTATTTTTTTTTTATTTTCCTTTGACAACTTAGGCACTACAGGAAAGAAAAAAAAAAGTTTTGGATGAAGCAGTAGAATTAAGTCAAGATCATTTTAAAAAGTACCTAGCTAAGCTCAAGTCAATCAACCCACCTTGTGTGCCTTTCTTTGGTAAGTAGCAGCAGGGCAGGCTGCACTGTGGGCATGATCAGTTCAGCTGAGTGATGCAGATGTGTTAATGCTGCTGGAACTGTCCAGGGTTGTGTTTAGCTCTTAAAACATCTGCAGTATAATGTGTGGGTTTTGCCTTCCTGGTCTGTAATGTTTTTAGACTTCATGGAATGGGTTGGGTTGGGAGGGACATGAAAGATCATGTAGTTCCAATCCCCCTGCCACGGGCAGGGACACCTCCTACTTGGTCAGGTGAAAGGTTTAGTGTATTTTACATACAATTTATTTTTCTAGGTTAGCACACAGCTCACTGGTATTATACTGGTCTGATTACATCACTCAGTTTCACACTGCCTCCACACTGGTGATGGCTTTATGGCAGTGACCTGAAAATGTTTTTAACTAAACTCAGGATCTCATGTGAAGGCAATAAAACGTCTTCTTTCAACAATACATCTTTCTGTGTAAAAAGCAGACTTGATTTATGCTTTGCAGCTAATAAACTGTTGGAGTGTTAAAGGAAATGGTCTGTCTGTGCTCAGCCTTGTGTATCATGCATGAGAAAGAATGAAATCAGCTCTTGGAATGAAAATGAAATTTTAAAAAGGCTTTTCTTTTTATCAGGAATTTACCTAACAAATATTTTGAAGACAGAAGAAGGGAATCCTGACTTCCTTAAAAGACAAGGGAAAGAATTAATTAACTTCAGTAAGAGGAGAAAAGTGGCTGAAATTACAGGAGAAATTCAGCAGTATCAAAACCAGCCTTACTGTTTACGAATAGAGCCGGAAATTCGGGTAATCCAACATCAAATACCTGGTTTGGGAGTAGGAGGGGGAAAATAATGTACACAACAAGACATTGCCAAATAATCTGGTATTATTAGACCTAATCCTGCATGAGCAGTGACCCTCAGAAAAGGGGTGAACAGTTGACAACAAAGTACCACAGCAGAGGACTGCCCAGAAGTGGGGATTTGTTTATTTAGATTCTGTGTTCTGGGCCTTGTTCATTCCCTGACTGCTCTGCAGCCCATGTTGGTGACATGGAGAATTAAATGGGCAACCATCCTGCTCTCCAGGATGTTACTTGCATGGTGTGTTTAGTTGCTGGGAAGGACTTAAGAGATGTACAGTGTTCTTAAGCCCAGAAGCTCACTGAGTTTGAGGGCTGGTGGTATTTGTGCTGCAGAAAGAACAACTGGAAAAGCTGTAGCTCACCCGCTGGCTCCAGCTACAGCCAGATTGTTTTGCACTTATGTATTGTTTTCCCTGGAAATAACCTTCACAATTGTGAAAAGCTGGATTTCTATTAACATTCTGTGCATGTGCTTATTTTTTCAAATATTATTGGTGCTTGTTTCATTTAGAAATTCTTCGAAAATCTCAATCCTATGGGGAAGGTACCAGAAAAAGAGTTCACAGACTACCTGTTCAACAAGTCACTTGAAATTGAACCTCGAAACTGCAAGCAGCCACCCAGATTTGTAAGTCTTGTCCTGCAAATTAAAGAATTAAAGCCCATTGGCCACTGTGAACATGAATAGTTCACTCAATAAACCATATATGTTTCCTTCAGAATTCCATATGATGAAATGAAGTTCCAGCAAAACTCGGTTTAAAAATGCTTTTGTTTCAGGGGTTTGTCACTACTGAAACTTGCTAGCTTTTGGCTTATTTTAGAGTTAACATTTTCCCCCCCCCAATCCTAAAATATTGCCATTTAAATTTGGGGTTCTCACCATCTAGTCATTTAATAGAACACATAATAACATTCCTCATTTCACCGTGTCAAGAAATCAGCTATTAATATTAATTGAAATAGGGGGTTTCCACCTAATTAATGTGTTATGTTCTCTTTAAGCAGAAGTTAATTTCTATTTTTCTTCTGTCTAAATATCTTGCATTGTTGCAAAAATTGAAGTGTTGACAATGTGCAACCTTCTTGCTGAACAAAATGCAGTTTAAATCAAAGGATCAGCAGCTTTGTTTGTTTAAAAAGAGCTACTGGAGGCCAGGGTTCTTTTTTAAGCAGAAGAATCACTCTCTCAACACTTGGTTTTTCTATGTTGTAATTATACTTCAGAGTAGCTGGAGACATCTCTAATTTTGGGGAATTTCACAGCATTTTATCAACCTCCTCCTGTTAGAGGAATGAGCAAGATGGTATTACAAATATGGAAATAAAAAATTCTGCTTACAGTAAATTCTCTAAAATATTTTCTAAAAACAGATATCCATGTTGACACTCTGTCAGCTGGGCAGGAATTCTATACAGTTCATGATTTCCAAACTAGCCAATCTTATTGGAACCTCAGGAAAGGCCAGTTCTGGCTGCTGGGGGTGGAGCCACGCACGCTGCTGGAGGATGGGAACGTGGTTCATCTTCAAAGAACCAGCTTTGATCTGTGCTGTGTCACGCCCCAGTTTCATGGGGTTTGTTTCATTCACACCAGTGAATGAAGAATTTTGTCCTGGCTAACCCAGAGGATGTACAAAATGAGTGTCTGAGTCTGTCCTTGATCTTGGGTGCGTGTAGGGGCCTGGTGACCTTCTGTGGTGCAGGAACAGCGCGTGTCTTGCGGTGCTCTGAGCCTCTTCCTCAGGCCTATGGAGGCCTGTGAAATAACTCTCTATCCCAAGGTTCTGACTTGCCCTTCACTGTGTTTTTTCCTGATGGGCAAGCATCTGAAACTTGACTCTTCATTCTTCATAGCTGTGGGAAAAAAAAAAAAAATGAGGCTGTGAAAAAAATACTAAGCTGGATCTTTAACTTTTCAGTAAATTCCTGCTATATAGATAACAACAGACTGACCCTCAGGTCAGTTGTAGAAAGGTTGTAACACCACTTAATGTTTATGTGAGAAGCACTTTTTTAAATATCTCAGAGACTTGGTGATTTTGCTCTCTGAAATGGTACCAGGACTAACCAGGTTTACTTTCTCCAGCCTAGAAAAACAACATACCCCCTGAAGTCTCCTGGGATAAGGCCCAATACGGGCAGACATGGCTCCACCTCTGGCACCTTGAGAAGCCATCCACTGCCACTGGAAAAGGAACCCAGTAAGATCAGCTTCAGTAGAATCACTGAAGCAGAGCATGAATCAACAGTATCAGCACCGACCTCTCCAAACACACCATCAACACCACCAGTGTCTGCTTCCTCAGAGTTCAGTGTGTTTTTAGACATTGATCTCAACAGTTCTTATGGTAAATGTGCAGTATGTTCTTGTTGTTGTTGTTACTGACCCTCAGGTTTCCAAAATGTATTGGTGCATCTGCTAGACTTTGTAAAAAAAAGTTGCAAAATGTAGTTGTGGACTGTGAAGTTCCTGTGTCAGTGTTACGTGTGCTGTGGTTTGGAAGTCCCTGCTGTAAGGACTTAAATAACAAGTGATGTTTCCAGTCTTCTGGCCAACTGAAACTGAGGCAAATCCATTCTGGGAGATGTCCCCGTGAGATGTGCTTGCTTTACCACCTATGGCACATCCATGGAGGGAAATGGTTCTGAGGACCTGGCATCCACACCAGCCCATGTTTCCAGTGTGGTCCTGTGACCTGAACATGCTCTGGTGATTCTGGGTTAGTTTTCTTTGAAGGCAATCCTGTTCACATCCTGTCTTGAGATATGAACAAAATGCCTGGAGTGGGGATAGTCAGGAAACCCACTCTGAAATGCAGCCTAGATAAAAATGACACTATCAGCTCAGATGCACTGATAACTCTCCCAAGCTTTGCTTGTAGCTGGGAGCAGCTCCTCAGTCATGAAAGCAGCGCGTGACAGGTCTTGGCTCTGCTCAGAGCAGGCTGCAGACTTGGCAGGCACTTTAAGCCTGGTGGGGGGCAAAAGTGATTAACTCATTTTTATATGGCAAAAGCTGAGGGAGTTTGGGCTGCAGGGGAAGTGAACAGCAACGTGGTGGTGTCAGAACAGAGGAGAGTAATGAGGCTTAATTTCCAGAATAACTTAATACTCCTTAACTTAATACTCCTTAAGTTGAGATTTTTACACAGGGAAGTAGAACTTTTGTTAGCAGTAAGTAAATTATCTTGGAGGTTATGGTGATTTTTCAGATCATGGTGGTTTTTGAGGTCATTCCCAAGCATGTGTTCTGTGTAGGTTTCTGTCTGGAAAGTCATTAATTGCTCTCTCATTTAACAGGTAACAACAGCATCTTCGCTCCCGTCAGTTTGCCGCAGTCAAGTGAGTACCGTGACTCTCTTAATGTTTCATTTAACTTGGCTTTTTGTGGTTTCAGCAGAGCTGGATAGGAATTCAAATCTGAAATCTGGGGTGAAAATGGGCTGCATTCATTAGGGTTGTGAGAGGATTTTTTTGGTACAGCTTTCAGATCAAATGCCCAGTAAAGAATGTAAAGTCCAAAAGCTGTCTGGTTTGGGTCGCGTTTTGCTGGTTTGTTGTTTTGGTTTTTTTCCCAGGCTCTATTTTTGCTTCTATTTTGAATGGCCTTGATGGTTATTTTGTTTGACTTGTGCTACAAATGAACCAACTTGATAATTTCATGTTACCACTTAGTGAAAATAATTGTTCTGCTGGGAAAGAGGTACTTTTGTACCACAGCTGTGAGGGAGATCTGTGTTCATCTCTGTCTTCACGTTCTCTTTTTACTCCCTGATTACAGACACACACACTTTGTCATATTAGGATGAAAATTGCAAACTGGAGAGCACAGGTGCTTCATGTATCATTACAGAGCTCTGTGCACTTCTGAGAGGAACAGCCAAATGAGTAACAGAAGTAAAAAACACAGGTTAGGGGGTTGTGTTGATTCTCCACTTTGAGGATTTTTCCTCCCCTCTGTAAAAAGGGTTGTGTTGATTCTCGACTTTGAGGATTTTTCCTCCCCTCTGTAAAAAAGGAAGGATTAGAAATGTCTGAAAGTTCTCTAAGAGTTAATGTCACCTGTTCTGTTCAGTGTATAATCCCCCTGCTTTAGGAGTGTTGCAGACCTGTTAAAGCCATTAAATGTCTCAATTTGAACATGTACGCTTCTGGCTGAAAGAACCAACTTCCACTCCAGAGTGTAACTGAGGGCAAACTGTAGGCACTGTGGTCAGTGGAGAGTAAATTCTGCAATACAGGGAGGATTGCAGAGAGGAGATTTATTTTTCTGTCCTGTAGCATTGCCTGCTAACTGCTGATGCATACCTTTGATACTGGAAACAGGAGACAGCTCTGTGAGGTGTATATCTGATGACAGAAACTAATGAGAATTTCATAAAACCAAAGTTAATGGTTCATGTTGCTGTTGAGCACAAAGATCTGCTTATTTGAGTTGCTTCTAGTTTGGCTCAATATTCTAGCCTGTGTTCCTCAGATACTGCACAAGCAGTAAAATATCTGCCTTTTCTCTCTCCAGAGACTTTCTTCAGCTCGTGGGGTAGCTTTCCTAAACTAAGTGATGAACCTCAAAACCCTCCTCCACTTCCTCCACGAAAAAAGATAGATCCGGATGCTTCTAATGCCAAGGTATTTCTGTCCTGCACTGGGTAACTTCCATAATGAACCAGGGAACATCTAGCCAAGCCAGGACTTGGTTAGTTCAAAAGATCTGCAAATGCAGTGCTCCAGTTGTCCTTTGGAAGTCTCAGGTTCCCAGCGTCCACACTCTGCTGGCTACTGTAGCAACACAGTGGTCAGGTTCATAGAATGGTAGGATGTTAGGAGGTTGGGAGGGACCTCTGCAGATCATCAAGTCCAGCACCCCTGCCAGAGCAGGAACACCTGGGGCAGGTCACAGAGAAACATGTCCAAATGGGTCTGGAAAGTCTCCAGAGAAGGAGACTCCACAACTTCTCTGGGCAGCCTGTTCCAGTGCTCTGTCACCCTCACAGTGAAGAAGTTTTTCCTCAAGTTGAGGTGGAACTTCCTTTGTTCCATCCAGTTTGTGCCCATTGCTCATTGTCCTATCACAGGGCATGACTGAAAGGGGACTGGTTTCTTCCTGACACCCACCCTTCAGATATTTATAGAGATGAGTAAGGTCCCCTCTCAGTCTTCTCTTCTCCAGACTGAACAGCCCCAGGTCTCATCAGACAGACCAAAGCTCATTCAGATCGATTCACAATTTGGATCATTCAGATCAGTTCAGACCACAGAGAATTCAGATCAACCCACAATTCGGCTCCAAGACAGCACCAGTAGCAGGAGGTATCCAGGGAGTTCTCCCCCTG